GGTCTGATCACACACAGATAATGATTTATTTTTTTAACATTTCATGAAACACACCAACGCCGGCTCAATGGCAATTTTCAGAATTTGCAATAGAAACATAAACGGTATCAGCGACATAAAATATAAATATAAATCACCATGACTTCGAGAGAGGGGGGCGAAGCGATATAAAGTGCTTTTATTATCGAACAGACAACCGAGAGAATGCTGCTGCTAGCATTACGATTGTGCCGTTTGTTTGGTGGTGGCGTGGTCGAATGTTAGCGAGCTCGACTTGTGTACGCACATAAATTTTTTTGATTAAAATTATGGTTTCCGGTAAATGGTATATTTGCAACAGAGACAACATTTAATCACTCTCGCTTTATATCGTGTGCCATTTCTGCGCCGTGGGATTGTTTAAATCAGAAAGAAAAATGTGTGCAAATAAAGTTTATGGATATAGACAAACAAAAACTTGACTCCCATACGTTTTATTGGCATTATGATCACTGCAGATCATTGTGTGTGTGCTGAATATATTATCAAACGTTCGGTTTCACCGTTCATCATCGTCATGAGTGTTATTATTAAATTAAATTTTACAGACGAACAAATCATTTCCACTTGCACTTTGTGTGTGTGTGTCTGCGGTGTGGTACACATGAAATCGAAAACCGAAAGGAGAAAGGCTTTTTTTATCACTGCAAAAAGGTGAGAAAGACACCATTTTTGGCACACTATTTTAATCTTCAGTCAATGAATGCGAACGCTTTTTCTATCTTCTTTGGTGGTGGTTGGCGTCCCTTTCGCTTTGCTGAACAAATTGCTTAACGCTTCATTCGGTTGGTTTTGCCAATGTTGATGTATTTTGCATGCAAAAGAGTGTTCATTACAGCAGTAATTTGGCTCTTACGCTCATTTGCACATCGCCCGCGATGATTTTATTAAAGCATTTATTTCAATGATAAACCGAAAGCGTGGCACACGTGTACAAATAAGTCAGATAAAAGAGACTGGTCGAGAATAATGCAGATATAAGCCGCCAATTAGGCAAACTCATCAAAATATTTGCTTAATGTCAAAGGACAAAAATTAACGAGCAAAACGAAAGAGAGATAAACATCGATATCGTCTTGGTTTTTCCCAAACCGAGGTTTCTGTAGCTCATTTACCGCTCGAAGTGCCCGTGTGTCGAGGAAAAAAAGATAATCTTTGGATTTGATTTAAATACCAGAACGGTCTCAAGTCATGAAATCCAACCAGCGTTCGGATGCACACAGACACCGTCCTCAGAATTACATAGTTGTTCTCATGTTTGACTCATTTTCCAATTTTATTGTTCAACATTGCATACATGCGGTGCAATTGGCTCGAAGAATTGCTCAAACTGGCCTGAATTTCAAATCTTGCAAACACGAGAATTAGAACGAGAATGCTGCTTGTAAAGCCAGAGCAAATTGGATTGGCGGCAATTTTTTGCGCTCTGCAAACTGGCTCGGTTTTTATTGCCCCATTATTACTGGTGGCAGAAATGTAATTACTTCAAGCAAAAGCAACACCGTGTGATGTAGATGAAATTAGTATATTACATCTAATTACAATATTGTGTGCAAATAAATTTTTGATTACACTCGCCCATTTTAGAACATATGTAAATGCATGTCATGCAACTTTGATGAAAGGTTCGACTGCAGTCCAACGCTTACAACCAAACTTCACAGCAGAAAAACCCTCTAATTGCTTGTTCGGCTGAATTGTTATATGCAGTAATTTAATGGAGAAATTTTTGCAGCCATGGTTCATTTGACTTACTTCCAAGATGCAGAATACGTCAGACCAAAAGCGGAACAACAATGGACTTCAAGAGTGTTGAATTGCAGGTCAACGAAACCTTCAATAAAATAATACCAACTTCTTTTTTTTCTTCAGCCATGCACTCAATTTATTGCACATCTCAATCGGTTGCTTACGGCCATTCGATCACATGAATGACAATGGGAATGGCCTGAGCTAGAAAAAAAAAAACCGAAATGTCCACTGGAAATTATATCCAATCGAATTTTTTCTCATTTCACTAAGAGAGAGAAGAGAATGTGTAGTGAAGGTGCTTCACAATAACAAAACAGCATCGTATGCATTTTTCTTTTCTATAGGTAATGGTTTTTGTTTTGCCATGTGAAATGGCTTCATCGTCTGTCGTGTTGCTGTTCCTTAATGGTTTCTTCACCATGTTCTACATTTTCGAAAGTTCAATTCTTCCGTTTAAATTATCTTACAGTCTGCCGTGTGTTTCAACCGATATTCCTATGGCCAATTTTCTACTAATAATAACCATTATTAACTCTCGAGACATTGTAAGTTTTCATTTAAATGCATTGAACGTGTAGACTTGAGCATAATTGCATTTTAGTTTTTCTTTGTTTCATTCGTGTTTGAAATACAGTTGTTGGTTTTTTTTCCGCTTAGCTCCGATTTTTTCTTCTCTCTCCAGAACTCTTGATCGCGATTCAACATATAGACCCAATTTTTCGTTCATTAAGCCATAATATGCGAGAATTGAATCTTTCACGGCTCAAAGTTCAGTTTCTTTTTTATGGCTTCAAAAACTCGTTTGAAATCTGTTTAAAAACTTTTCATCTGGTAACATTGTATTAGATAACGAACACACGTCAGTATATAATTTAAAATATTTTACGATTATTATTTCTAGATACCGTGAATTATATTTTATTGAGATGGTATGTGTTTTTTTCTCTCCATCGGAAGATAGAAGAAAAAAAATTGTTACTCAACACATTTTCTCGACTGTTTGCACCTGGCCATTCGATTCGTCGTCGTTTTATATGCCAACATTCATTCAATAATTTTAAATGAATTGGCGATAAATCAAATTCTTTGCGCTGCAATCAATAAATCTACATCGATTTCACAACAAGCTCAACCGAGATGAAAGGCCGATTGCCGCCTCACAAAAAAAACAACAACCGACTGCATTGTGTTTTTTTTTACTCTTAGGAGGAATTGTACTTCTAGCAAGCTGCTATGATCATTAGGCAAAATGGAACTCAACTATCGCATCGGCCATAGCATGCATTTGATATTTAATGCACCATTATTTTCGGGATAATTTGCTTTCGATCAAAATGCTTATTATTTTCGCATTTATTGTGCTGCACGATCGCATCACATTTTTCAAACGATTGCATGGTTCGAAGTCAAAGGAGAAGAAAAAATGAATGAAAAAATTTGAATATTGCATTTGTAATACAAATATCGCTATAGCGATCAATCAATCGATCTAACTACGTTATTGACAATTGTCAATGGTGAACGATAGCATCCTGAATCTATTGACTGTGATTGTCTTTCGATTTTTTTGCTTCTTCGACATCCGTATGAAAACCAATACACTTTTTGTGCATGCTACTACTTCTTCGTCTTCTTCACACTATCGTACACACAATCGTGCACAATGGAAGCGGCCATATTGAATATTTATAGTGTATTGTTATTATTTCTTCCAATATGACGACTTACAGTATGTATTAAAAAGAAGAAGCAGTAGCATTTCACAGTTTGCATACGGATGTTCTTCGACTTCTTTTTCATGGAATCGTTCGAAGTTCGAAGAATGTATTTGAAAATGTGGCGTTTGAAAAAAATGTGTTTACTGACTTTTCTATGGAATTGATTTGGAAAAAAGATCCATGAAGTAAAAAATTAAACAAGAGGCATCGAACAAAATATAAACAAACAAGAAGCATTTAAGTGAAAGATATTGAACTGACGATTAAAATGTATTGGCTCGTATATCTCAACACTGAATTAATTACTTCCGAATGATTCTTTGAACTGTATTTGTCATTCCATTATCTTTCCTACTTCATAAATTGATTTTTTTCATGTAAAAAATGTGTTTAGAAAGGTTTCATGAGCGGAACTTCAAAGCGAAGAATTATCGGGCTATTCTGCATTTATCTCCCATTCGATATGCATTATTATTTGATGAGAGTTTCCTTTATACTACCAATTTCAGGATTAAATAACGTTGAAAGGTGTAAAATTATGGATGAATGGAATCATAAACAAATATATCAATTGCATTGGAAGCAACGGGAAAATGTGTGTGATTCATTGAACTCGTATGGTATCGCTTCGGGGCGAAGTGTGTCTTGGTTCATGTAGAGGTGCTCTAACGCGCACGAGAGACTGTGACAATAACACGGAGTGCATATTGCGGAGACTGAGCAGACAGTAGCTTCCGGTGAATGTATTGTATTTCTGTGTATTTATTTTCCATTTTTTCTCTCCCGGTCGAAGAGTATAATATTTCACTATCATATAATCATGTACACGAAAAAAAAAGAAAACAAAAATTTTTCATGCGGTTTTTTTCTCTATGCAAACGGAATTAGACGTTGGCAAACAAACAAAAAATGTTGGTGAGAAATTTTTGGCTTCTGAAGTGGCGAAGTAGCTTGGTTAATGAAGCTCATACATATGGTTCAATCAATGTTTCTGGGTCTTGATGGTGCGTGTACCTCCATGGGCTGAATTAATCGCACTATGGATTTGCATAATTACGACCAGTCGATGTTGTTTTTTTCCCATTGTTTGTGCTGATAATTAGCAACTGAGTCAGTATAGCGATAGCTGAAATGTTTTGCTATCACTTCGGCCGTATTGCACTTATTCAATTCCCATTCATTGGAGGGAATCACGTAACGGCCGATTTTGTACGGAAGGAAAGGCCTACACCGTTTGATTTTTCAAGAGAAAACAAATTGAAACAGCTGGAATCATGTTGTTGAACATGGCTCATTGACACCCCGACTGATTTTGTAACATTAAAACACGTGTGTGTTTTTTTTCTTCATTTCATTAGTTACGCCAAAATCTGTTCGTTAAAATCGACGAAGTCAAAATGGTCAATAGGCAAATTAATACGCAACAAATGAATAAAATGTAACATTTGCCTAAACAAACACGTATTGTTTTGATCTAATAAAATTCATTACCGTCTAGCATATATTTGGATGTTCCGTCGTCCATCGCTGTGTCTAAGCCCATTTCATTATATAAACTCATTTTGACTGCGTTTTAAATATATATCACTTAGATAAATTTACAACTTAAATTTCGTTTGTTTTATCAATCACAAAATCACTTTCAGTTTTTATGAACACGTTCACTTGGATCGGTTTATTTCACTTGTACCATTGAATTTCTGTTGTTTACCTTATTAGCCTAAACAAAAGGAAATAAAAATTTGGCAACGATTTTTTATTTAAAATTTCAACGGTGTGGATTTAATTTGAAGAAAGCCTTAAAATTTGCACGAAATAAAATCATTTGGCAAACGTGCAATTGACATTGACATTGAAACGATTTGCATAATTCGTTTGCTTTTAGCTTTCACTAGTCTTCACTTTGACGACAAAACAAAAATACATCGATCATTTGTCTAACTAGATGCGAATTTTCTTTGATCTTCGAAATGTTTTCAAATGTTTGTCACATTTTTTAAGTGCTTTAGCATTCAAGTGCTCGGTTTACTTATAAACGAATCTATTTTCACAGTCACAATATTCGAATGATCCTCAATACGAGACAGACAATGTAATAAATATGCATTGAATGAATTCATAGCGTTGGAAACAATGAGGCAAACAAGGGACTGTCGGCTTTTTGAACTTCGTTCATAATTGAGTGGAATTAAAATTCATCAAAACACACATCGGCTTGTTGTCATCGCATTTATCGCAAGTATACATTAAACGGTCAAACAACCACGGGCGAATAGGTCTTATCGTAAATTAAACGAAATGAATGTATATGTTTGCTCTATTGGCCAAAACAACAGTAGTAACAGTTCGTTAGTTCGGTGTCGACTTTTGGCTACGAAAAAAACACCACATACTCAGCGTGACTTATTGCCGCATGCAATTTATGTTAAGGTCACACATGTGCTTTTTTTCTCTCATGCAAAATATACATATGCCTCTCATTTTTATTTTGTTTTGTCTAAAATTTTGCGCGATCTCTTGTACAGCGAAACTAAACGCTGTTACTTCTTCTCACAATGAGACTATTTCGAAAAAAAACGTCTCTTTTTCTCGCGTCTGTTTGACTGGCAGCTTTAACGTGACGTACTTCAAAATAAAAGAATACTTTCGAACATTCCTTTTGATGTAGCAAGTTGTAAGTGGCTTCATTATTACATTTAATTTGTGCGCTGATTGCAAATAATGAATTTAACGATTGTCGCAAGATCGCATGCTCGATTGTTTCAATTTTCGTCGATATCGTTGTGTCACAAACGGAAATGGCGACACCACATCAAATATTAATGAGATTCACTTTTAGAACTTTGTTTGCGAGCGCGTGTGCGATCACGACGAACGCGTATTTGACAACTGAATTTTTGAGCAGCCTGTTTATAGACACACGGAAAGGAGCTGTTAATTTGAATACAAAGCGTCTTTAAATAAGCCATATCGATGAGAAGCATTTATTATATGACCAATCGACTCAATTTTATTGTACGGTATCCATCATGGTTATAAGTTGATATTTCGTGAGACTGTATTGCAGTTGGCAAATGTCATGCATAGCCTTGAATAAACTTGATTTCGCATGTCGCTCATTTTGGCTTGATATTTTGGCTCAAGTCGGTCTTTTTGTGTGACAGAAGAAAAAAGAGTCGGTTTCTTGTGTTTTTCACGAAATCGATTGTAATCAAGCCAATGAATGAGCTGATTTTGTAAAGAAGTTCGGTATTGTGTCATCACATTCTTTTTTTTTTTGATTGAAAAAATACCGAATGCAATTGAAATAGGCAATTTAAAAATGTTTAAAGCACTTTATCTGGTTTCCCATAATTGTCAATTATTGTTATCTGTCATCAAGAAATGTTTCATCGAAATCGAAGTGCAGCTTGAATATGGTAGACTCAGAAACCCATTAAAAATCATTGAAAATGAAACTCTTTGCCGGGCAAAATACAATGCTCAACGATGAATGGAGGCTCGACATTGTGCGCATTAGGCAATAATTGCTTGAATCATTGTATTACACAAAAAGAAAGTACACAACACGTCCATTCTCAATATGCATAATCTCAATATGATTCAAATCGATGCTGGCTGTGTTTACAAAAATCCCAGCATTTGAATGACTTTTCAATGGATTTTCGTTGCCAGTCGCAGTTTAATCACATCGATTTGTCACTCAATCACACAATATCTCAAATGAACAAACAAACAAAGCACGTGTTTTAAAAGTCGATACAAAGCATTTGACATTATTATCAACTGTGGATTGAGTATGGTTCGTATTCGACTACTGTGAACGTTTAGCTGTGTTGATTTACCAATTTTAATCTATTGACACTATTCACTGTCACTTGAAGATTTGTACACAAATCCATGCAATATCAAACTTTCACACAAAACGTCCATTGAAATGACAATTTTTGTCAGAGTGTCCACAAGTGAAACACAACTAAATCACCAATATATTCTCTCGCTAAACGTCGTTTTTTTTTCTTTCTCGCTACTCTTTATTTGACCAAGAGTTGAAAACCGGACCGTAACATAATCGAATGACAACTGACTTCACTATCATTAAAAGAGCAATACTGGCTATGATTAGCACATGTATTTGCATCGAGAATGCCAATCGAAATGTGTGGCTGTTTGCATGTAGTGGTACACAGCTATATTTTGGTTTTCATGGTGTCATTTTCGTAACGCACACATCGATATGATTGACTATAATTGCAAGATCATTGGACAGCAGCAACAACGGCGAAGACAAAAACAACAGCAGCAGTCGCAACGTATAATATATTGCACAATTGGACTTCTCATATGGTCTTGTTTATCGTCATAAATCAAGCGAACATACTCATTGCGGATGAAGGCATAAAATGAAGGCATAAAATTTAGTTTTTTGAGTGTTTTAAATTGAGAAACAAACAAATATATACAAATATATTACAGTAATTGTTGTGTGGCCGCCGTTGATTACAAACCGTTGACGCAAATCACTTTGAATGTGTGAGTCAGTCAGCGTGTCAGTATATTATCGATTTGTCATTCGGCTTTTGCGAATGCGATAGACACATCACGGCTGTTTCACCGTTGCTATATTCACCGTCGTTTATGTTTGTTCACTATAATTTTTCTGCACATATTTTGTATGGTGTCATTTGCTACTATATTTTGCTATTTTGCATGTTTTGATGTGGCTTTTAGATTGCCTTGAGCGAAGGAGAAACAACGACAGAAAAAAATACGTTATCATGATGAGTATTCGTGACACTGCCGGTTAAACCAGACTTTGAGGAAATTTGTTGGAGACAAATTAAAAACGATTTTATACAAACATTGTATCATTTCAAACTCATTTGCCAGCTACGTTATCAATCACTTAACAGCAACATACTTCCACGAATTCATTCAACTATCGCACATTTTCGAGTCACTACTTGGAAATTGCTATTGGAAGACGGGCCTAAAATGTGGCTTGAGGCAAATGCAAATTACATAACATTGCTGTGAGCCTATAATCGACTTCCTTATGTCTAACTGAAAACTGCCACTCGTCACTCTCAGTGAATCTTCCTCCTTTTATCATTACAGGCAAAATGTCAAAGTCATTTTCAAATCACAATTATTTTAACTACAATGTAATTGAAAACGCAATGAAAATTTCCATTCATTTAATTCCACGTAGATAAATGGTATCCACATCATAATAAGCACTGATCACAATTTCACTTGAAACATTTCTCAATCAACATTTTCGCGATTCTCAAGCACAAATTGGCACAATTCTCTGGGTGAAAAATCACCATTTCTGTGTCAGAAAGTCTAATTAAGATGAGATTTATTTTGCATCTTGCGGTATTATTTATGAAGGACAAACACTCATAAAATATGCCACATTAAAAGCACTGAACTGTCATCGATTTTTATTTTTGCCGACCTTGGCATTCGATTTATTCTGCGGATTTTTGTTTTGCTAAATTACAAAACTTTCCTTTCGAAGAAAGAAAAAAACAGCACCCGAAAAATAAAACACGTTCTGCGAAATTACTCTATGCCAAATGTTTGTGTTTAACACAACTGTTTTTTTTGTCGTCAAAAGTTGATGTGTATGTTTTACAAGTGAAACAGTTGCCTGCATTGTTTCCCTTGTAATTTTGCTTGTTGACGCGTTAAATGAATAAGTGAATATACGTGAGACCCAAAAAGCTTAACAGCAACGTATCAATATCACTATATAGCTCATGATTCATTGAAAAATGTTGTTCAAATAATTTAAAATGAAGCAAAAAAACTGTTTTAAAATGCAATGAATCAAAAAAATCAACACTAACACCAAATCGAGCACAGAATCGATGTTTCTTTGCGTTTTAAAAAAATGGAACTGTGTATTTTTTTCCACTCCGGGTTTTTAGTTTGGTAAAAACGTTTCTAAAGTAAAAATGTCAGCCTGAAGAAGAAAAAAAAAAACAACAAAACCCAGAACTGAGTCTCACCCTTTGTTCAGCCGAATTTTATTGCGACTAAACACGATACAGTAATAACAAGCCAGACCCGATGGTCGCGTTCTTCCTGTGTTTTTGTTCCTTTCCATCCTTTTGGCAAGAGTAGTGTGTACCATATGGACGATGTGTTGTATGTATGTATGTGTGAATGCACCTCGTTACGGCTGCCTAACAAAATCAGCCCGTACGTGTGCTAGAGTAGCATCGCGAATTGCGTACATGTCATTCGGTCATTGTGTTTGGCACATTGTGCGCATGACAGTTACGAAGCTGCTGCTGCTGCTGTGTACGGAGTGTATATGCTTCAGTAGTCGAAATTATCGATCGAACCGATGTTTACATCGTTTGACACAACGCAGCATAACATATATACCAGTTTGCCAGTAGCCGGTCGGATTTTTTTTTTGTTAATGCTTTGTTTTTATTTGCTTTCTGTACGCACCTTCGTTGGGTAAATAAATTCTCTGAAGAATAATGGCGAACAATGAGTTGATCCAACGTTACGTTCTCACAGCATTCAAAAGGAAGATTGAAAGACCGAAAAAGGAGAGAAACGAAACGAATCTTCAAAAATGCATTAATAGTTCAATGACCTCAGCACATTTTAATTGAAAACGAATTCAATGGGATTGAGGTTAGAAGAACATCATCATTCGACTGAATCCTCCCTGGAATTCATTTCAAAAACTAAAGCGTTATGAATGAGCACGAATGTGGTTCGTGTGAACGAATAAATAGTAATTTATTTTGTATTAATTCTGCAACTTAATGAAATTATTTGCAATACATCCCCGGCCTGGTGAAGAGAGTAAGAGAATGGGCGTTGTTATCAATATATGGTATTGCAACTCGGTTCCAATCAAGCAAAAACATATAATTTTTCGAATTTTTGTTAACATTACATTCGCGTGGTCACATATAAATGTCGATGAAATTCGAAGCCCCAAAATCAATTTTGAGTTTCGAGCGGCTCAATTGAAATGTTATTCGCAAAAGTTTCCGAAAAAATTAACGCTTGTTAATATAATTATTAGCACAGCGAAATCAAAGTATTTTTATGATTATTACTTTTTGTGATTGCCTTCGACGCCGCCGCTGGCCATTCGATAATATATTGTATATTTTTACTCAGCGAAACGCCTCCACAAGCATTAATTCACAACCGAAACCATATTGGCCACAAATAACTTTCACTTATATGTACAAGAAAGGGTCCAATAGACGAAAACAAAAACCACTCCGCTATTTCTTCTGTGATGTTGAGCAATGAGAGCGGCGATTGACGCCGTATTCTCCAATTAATTGCGCATTTCAACGGTGAATAATTGGCTGGCAATTATCGAAAATGAAATAAACTGATAATAACGAGTTATATTGAGTGATAATTATCATGATTTACGTAAAAATAATCGATTGAATAGATTTACTCATTCAATTTACCTCGTCTGTTTTCTATTATCGAAAAGAAATGATGGAAACGATGCAACCTTTTCTTCGTTGTTTGAAATTCCAATTTATGTTGATATTTATCATCATAACGAGCAGGAAGCGATCGAGTCGCCAATTGTCGCCAAACGTGAGCCAAAAGCGATAGAAATGCCTATGATGAACTAGGGAAAAAAAACCGTATCGACGAGTCACACGGTGGTTTTCTGTTGTATTTCTTTTTTTAAAAACCATGTTGGGCAAGTTAGCAGCTCACCGTTTGCATTATTCACGAAACTAAACATATAATGATTAAAATTGGATGCAGACTGTAACTTGTTTCTTTTTTGTGGTCGTTGTCATTTCAAATGTTACAGTTTTTCGAGCGGCTGATCTTTTCCGAAGTTTTATTTCTCGTTCATGTGTGATCCAATGCAGTTAATTCCCATTTACTGTGGACACTTGTAAAATTGAAGAAAAAAAACTCGCTCTAAATGTGGGCTGAGCCGGTTATAAATTATTGATTTTTGTTGCGATTGCACTAATTTCCAAGCACATGCAATTCGACAAAGCGTTGCTATAAACTGAATTCTTGGTCATTGAGCTGCATTCATTAGATTGGAATTCGTGTGTTTGGAATTTAAGTTGAATTGACAACTTTTTTAAGCGTGAATTATTTTAGCTTGTTTCAAGAGAATATGGTGCATGATAGGTCATTGAACTTTGATCAATCAAAACTTGATAGAAACGTTATGGATTTTCACTTTCATCGCTGCAACGGTGCTCATGAGCAAGATGAATTTCAGCACTATTGACCTATTTCTAACTATCGATTGCAAGTGAAACCACGAGAAAACCGTTAAAAAAAACAAACGTTTTCAGCTCCGGTTTACAATCGAAAGAAGATAAATATGATATCTGTCATCACGGGCACGATTTGCCCTTTCTCAGAATGCAGCTCCTATCCAATTGATCGTATCGTCAGCCAAATATCGCACGAAATTTTCACAAACCACATACTGTCCCATCCCGTAAAATAATTACCTCAATGTACATGCTTGTTGCTGTTGTCGATGACGCTTGTTTCTGTGGTCCGGAATTCAGTCTTTAAATCAATAGCGACGTATAAATGTCAAGCTGCAGTTGAATTGTAAATCATTTATAAGTTGAATGAATTCTCTGCAAAATTCCACGAAATCCACTGCGAGAATTCCATATTTCCCGTACGAAATTGCATGTTTTTCGATTGTAAACTGTAGCATGTAATTGAAAATCGTGATCAATTTTACGAAAATATGCAGCCTAATGCCCGTCCAAACCGTTCATTATCGAATTAGGTGGTCGTTTTGTTTTGAGCGAAGGCAGAACGAAACCAATTTTTTTTTTAGAATGCGATCGTTTCTCATGTTTATCGCGTTCAGTAAATCAATTCATTTTCGATGGATATGACATCGTTAATCAATTTTTTTAGCTCCAAGCAGAGGCAGCAGCCGCACACGAAACGATCGTTTGTCTGTCTGTTTTCATGCAACAACAAACATCTTATTCGATTGACAACCAAACTACAATGTTGCGGTTGCACAAACAAAATCTAATGATACGTGACATGGGGCATGGTAGTTTTTGCTAAACGATACAACTGATAAATACAAAAATTTCTCTTTTCCAAGAGATCTGACTTCGATTCATAACGACTTTGTAATTGATTATGTTTTATGACTTTTGGCGTTGTTTTTTTGTCTCTTCGATCGAAAAAGTTCAAATTGCCCATTGAAACAGCAAGAAGAAAAAAACCGCGTGGCGATTTCACATCAACATCAACACGGTTGCAATGATTGATTAAATTGCAATGGACGTGATTAAACAGTGATTAAATGTCTAGTGTCCACCTAAAAAGCATTGAGGAAGTTGTTTCAACACCTTTTTGCATCGAACGGACTACTAATAATGTGTTTTAGAGTCATCATTTTATAGAAACGACTTGTCGCTTTAGACCGTGTACAAAAAAAAACAGGAGAATACAACGGGTAATAAAATAGCAAATGCCCAAAAGAGTTAGTTGGCGTAACGCAGCAATCGTAGTAAGAAGTTGCATGGTGTCGTGTCGCTAATCGATACCTCCACTTTTACGGCCTCTCTAAAACAATATAAATAATTTTATTGAAAAAAACCACCAGTCCAAAGTTTCCTTTCCGTAGCACCTGTTCTACCTCATTTGCATTCGTAATGATATTCGATGTCTGCGTACTGCTTCAGTCCAAAGAACTGAGAGAAAAAACAGCAGCACCAACCTTGGTGTACAATTTATGGTGAGACCAAAATTCGCTTTCATCGTAACTGCCATAAAAACGGATGTAGGATTTTTTACGATGTTGTTTAATGCGCCGGCAAACGTGTGCGTGTATAATGAAGGCGCGCGTGCATGCAACAGAAGGTGTAATACATTGTGGGTGAGATGGAGCTCTCGATGTACTTGATCATGCCAATGTCTTTGCAAACTAAGAGTGTTCGTCTAAGACATCGTTTTATTGCCGATTCCAAGTGAAAGTATGTTTTGTGATCAAGCCCATAAAACGTTTCTCTAATGCAATGTAAATAACAAACGATGACAATGCTGAAATCCCATTTTTTTCGAACCAATTTTCCTTTAGATTGTTGATACGAAAGAGGACCTAATTGAACAGCATGGTGCAGAGGAAATTTCCATAAAGCCTTTCAAAATATATTGAGAATATCGGCATAAATTATCGTTTAATTATAGGTAAAACTCTCATTTTAGTGGATTTTTTTGTGTATGAAACAATGAGAGAAAATGCATTTGATTATCATCACAACACAAAGATGTTTTAGGTTAAGTGTACGTTGTGTACAGAAATGTCATTCAATTAGACGACAGTTATGTTTGCCTTAGATAAAATATTACTCGCTATTGTTTGATTGGGTTCTTGCCTCATTTCACATTTCGTTTCATTTCACAGCGTTTGTCATCTGCTATACAAAAGCAAATGTATGTTTGCAAGATGTCTTTACACGAAATTATCTTCATATTTCAAAAAGACCACAAATTATGCACATTTTTGAGCTATTGTGCGATAGAAACAATGGTTTCGATGCGTCAAACATGACGACAATACAGTACAAAACAAATAGAGACGAATCGACGCAACAATGGAAAAAGTCATTGAAGACAGATGAAACACAAATGAAATGGAGACATTCTATGGGGCGTCTATTTGGAACGGTAATGTTTAATATATCGCACGTTCAAGAGAGAATTTTTTTTCTCCTTCTTTCGAAGAGATATTCCCTTAATGCACGACAATCATGTTCGTTCGTTTGGCTATTGTCCAGGCGTTTCCAGTGTGAAGCATTCCACATAAGAACCTGTTTCAAGTTTTCTTTTTTTTCACACGTTGAATAAATCATGGTTATTTTAACCGCATAAACTCTTGAAAATCAAACCAATTTAGTTATTATTCAAAACACACGCATTGAAATAAGTGTCTCCCCACTAATCGAATTCGAACGGTACACACGCAGTCTTCAAACAGCAAACAAACAAACGGAGAACGACATTACCTCGATATTAAACGAATACGTCAGATGCAAAAATTCATTTCGCTTCTAGTGGTTTTCGTTCAAAAAGCACTCAACATCGACTGAGACTGCCGTCTCTGCCGTTGAAGTGGAAGAAATGAAAAACAGCAAATGTTTGGTGCGAACATTTCAACATCACACAGCGTTTAAAATATTCTACTTTGGCGAAAAATTGTCCGCATATGAATATTAATGAGATGTCCACCAATACTCACACAAAACCCATCTTCATCGTGTGATAAAAGATCAAAGCGGCTGAAAAAAAAATTCTCGTTTCGAAGAAAAAAAAGAAGAACCAATTGAATATATTTAAGGTTTTTTTTTGTTTTTCTCTTTCGTTTGCAAACTGCTTAAAGATGTTAATTTCGACACAAAGTCAAAGTACCTGTGGCAAGTATATATATATATCTAAAGCAAATATTGTGGGGGTTCTGGTGTAAATATTTAATTAGCAATTTGTCGCAATCGAATTTAAGCGTTCTCGTTGTAATCATAAGTAGTTTGGTTACACAATCGAGTCATGGTCTTTTGAGTCATTTTTGTTGTTGTTATTGTTTTATTTCGGTTGAAAAATAATTGGCAAATTGAACGAAAGAAAAATATGGGCAAATTGAACGAATAAGCGTGAGCATTAGTGAAACACTTACCATTTTCGGTCCACGCAGCACACTCATTCTCTTTGCATAAAAGCGACCATTCAAAATCTAAATCATCGTAGGATGCCATATTTGGAATGTTTCACCAAATGACCAGCGAACGGTAGCACCAATATTTGACACAATTGTTAAAAGATCAACGCGAGCTGTCGCCAAAATCCAAAAATATCTTAAGTTAATCCAATTTTGGCACGAAATATTACACTCAAATGGGATTCATATATGCATAGTATGTCGAAATGTTTTTGAAAAAATCAGCACACAACGCTGAACCAACAAAATGTTAAACTATGTTCAACTCTTGGTTCACAAATTGCATTTTGAACTAACGAATGAGCAGCAGCAGCAGAAAAAAAAACACAAAGTGTTGGCTATTTTCGGATCATACTAATTTTCTCACAAATACACAACGAAGCACATGTTAGCCCTGAATCAAACGATTATACATGGTTTCTGTTTGGAAAAAACGCACACAATTTAATTACACGATGCAACAAAGAAAATCTAGAGTTGAATGCATTTACACTCAATTTTAAACAAAAACACATATTAACAAGTCACAAATAAATTTAGTGTGCGTCACATTCTCTGAATAAAATTTTCTTAGTCAGCCATATCGTTTACAATTCGATAAAACGATAATGCTATCCTTCGGTCAGAACGGCTGATTTTTTTTTCAGTTTCTGAAGCGGGAGAATTCGCGTCAGTCCAACTGTTCTGTTAGCTGGCTTTGTAGCGAATATTCGGTGACAAATGGCCGATTTTTCCGATGGTGTTCAATGTGTTAAGATGATTTCAAATAAGCCACATGGTTCATCGTCTCTCACCATAATCATAAACAGTGTGTGTGTGTGTGCATATACAAATGAGTCGAGCGAGATAAAATTTCTGACAAACGAAAAAATTACAACAACATGGAATTTGCATTTAAAAAAACACTTGTCGTCGACACCCGTTAAACAAAAACGAGAAGAAGAAAAACCGACATCGATTTCAACGGCCTATTTGGTTGGTTGTGCTCGCACACTAACGAATTCCAATAGACAAATCAATTCGACACGCACACGCACGCTCTCTTTCTTCTCTCTTCTTCTAAACCCGTTGATTGTGTCATGCGAAAGAAAACGATCTGCTGAAAAGACACACAGCCACTTGCTCTGTGTAGCACTCACACTTTTGTAACACCTCTTCGTCGTCGTTGTCGTTATCGTTTGGACCAAACAAATTTTTTCGTCGTTGACAAACAACGATTGCGCAAGATTTTTTTTTTGCTCTTTCTATCGATGAATATATCAATGATGCGAAATTATTATCAAATTTTTTTTTGCCAGAAATTTTCGACCAAACGAAACCAGACTTGTTTTTTGACCACAAGCGAAAAAAAAATTTGCTTATGAAACACGAGTCAAGCGTCCGTAATCGCTTGTTTTAGAGCGGTGACTGCTATTGGTAGAATATGAAACGAGAGTGCAAAGAGAAGAATAAGAATGAACATACGGCATTTTTGTGCAAGAATAAGTCGAGTGCAACGCAATGCAGCACAGCGCACATTCAACCAAACGAAATTGAAAACTTGAACCAGTGAAACCAGTATTTGTATTTGTATTTGCGATCCGCGCTATGTGCGCATCATACTTTTCTGTATAGACACAATATCATGCTCTAAATATACGAAAAGCCACACATTGTGCACATTCTGTCGAGCCGAGTTGAGTCTTTTGCACACTTTCCATAGCTTCTTTGTTCACTTTTGAGTTTAACCGTTTTGACCGCATCCAGCGTATTTAATAACAATGACGATGGAGGATTGAACTTGCGCAAATAAAAAAACTTTCTGATCATCAGTTGCTATTACATCGTTCAATCACGCTGCACTTTGATCAATGGTGATTGAAACACATTATTTTTTTATTAGAAATGGCTTTGATTAAAATATATAAACACACAGTTTGCGAAATGCAATCTATTCGAATGGAAATCTTTCACTCTCTCATTGATCGTTATCGGAGATGAATTTGTAAACAATGTTTTTGTTGTTATTTGTTTTCATGCAATTTTCGGTTTGAGCTGTGCTTTGTAGATGCGATCAAAGTATCTATGCCATGTTTTGAATTCATTCTGTTTAAATAAAATCAAATTGTTGAATTTACTGGAATTCCGTTTAGTTTTACACTCAGTTTTGCGTTGAATGTATTGAATATTTCGTTCAAGGCGAATATTTCCCACTATAGGAGCGGTGCATCTGCATCACAATTGCTGTTTGGAAAAAATTGATTTTTTTTCACTTTTGGCTTGTTAGCCTTAGATTTTAGGTCGAGACTTATTTTACAAGACCTTTTTCTGAACTGGTCTACTTTCGGTTGAGAAAAATTGGCAATTTCACTCTAAAATCCACTTCAAAGTCTTTCTTTTCCTTTTATTCATTAAATCTACGTCGTGACTCACACAGTATAAGCTAAATCTGAACTTGAAAATTATCACAATTAGAATTATCAAAATGAAAGTTGATAAAAAGACTGAAAGTTTGACTAAAGCAATCAGAAGATGATATGAGCAATTGGCGAGTACTTGTGCCCTTCTGCCGGACAGGAGATTATTTCAAAATTTGAGTATCTAACGTTCGAATATGATTGTCAAGTCGAAAAAGAATAGAAATTGATGATCGTAATGATGACGGCGCCACAGATCGGATGATAACCAATACTTTGATTCAAAGTATTTGAAGTAAAAATGCAAAAATACTTACTTTAAATCCATGCCTAACTATGATGCATCTATAGATGAGTTTATAGATTAATGTGTCCAAATTCATTGTCACCATGAGCTTTCCAGCCTAGTTGCTATTCAATGAAAATAAGTTCAAGTAGCAAAGTGAAAAACACCTGGAGTTACTTTTCAATTCGCACATGTATCAGTTTATTTTATTAAATACAACTATCTCAATTGAAGGATGAGAGATTTCTTTTGACAATTTACAAATTTTGCATAGTTGTTGCCTCTAAGCATTTATTCCGTTTTAATTTAGTGTGTATGTCTTGTGTGTATGTGTAGCCACATGCATATCTTAATTATTTAGCTTACTAACTAAACGATAAAATTGTGTAGAATTTCTTTCTCTCTGGAAAGAAGAATCTTTCTCATGAATATGCAAAAAAAAAAAAATTGATTTCGTATCCCGTGCGTTACGAAGACTTGTGATTAAACATTCATTAATGTATATCTCTCTACAATCAGACGGTTGGCAGACACGTCTCTATCATACATATCGGTTTTTATTCCTGTAGTGATAATTTATGGTTTGGATGAAGATGATTTTGGATGAACAGAAAAAAAAATTCGGTTGATGCTTCTGTTGAAACAAAAGAATACACAAAACAAAACAACAAAACGAATTGATTTGTTGGTTGGTTGGCTAACACCTAATTAAAATCATGAAAAATGACGTTTGGATGCAGTTGAATGCGATTTAAAGGAAATGTGGTTTGTGGTTGTCTTGTGATGGTCCATTATTCCGTGACCAAGGTTGATTTCCGCCTTTATAGTTGTCATATTTCTTTTTTTGTTGTTGCATTTTGCATAAGAAATGTTTGTATGTGTGAGTGTGTGTGTTTGTGGGAAAATACACGAAAGATTAACACAAATTAGATTTGAATTGTTTTTGTTTTTTCAATTTTTTTGTTTTTTGGATTTTTATATTTCAAATTGGTCTTTTGAAATCATATTGTTTTTATACAAACAACAACGAAAAAGCTGCATATTTCGGCCTCAAAATCGTCGTTTTCGTCTTAACGATAAACTCTGTTCAGTTGAATAATTGCTTTTTACCTGATCTGGGTTTTGATTCATGTTCCCAATGAGGCCCCATTGATTGAGCGCAGCCACAATTGCTGGACTTATTGGCAACGGATTCATATTCATACCTGCAATGCAAGAGGAAAATGATGACATGTTTTTATTATGGGAAAAATGTTTGTGTTTCTGATATTACCACCCTGATTAGGTGGTCCATTTTGTCCGTTTGGGTTGATCCCGAGGGATTGCAGGTTTGGCATGTCGATATTTCCACGGTTTTGATTCCAATTGTTGCTGTGATGCATTGGACCAGACGGTGGCATGTTGTTGTAATTATTTCGACTGCTGCCGCCACTGCTACTGCTTCCCTATTGAATAATTAAGAATTCAATTATTCAAATTGAAACGGAATCAGATTCAATAGTGTGAAATGCAGATTTTTCGATTTACCTGATAGTTCATATCGTGATTCTGATGGTTTGAACTCCCTCCACGGTGCGAGTAATGCGATCCGCTGTTACTGCCACCACCGCCGCCACCGCCACCACCACCACCACTGCTGCTGCTGGAACTGTTGTGATGATAGTGTTTGTTGTCTTGCGATTTTGGGGCAGCTGTCGACACAAAGACCGAATTGCCTTTAACGATGTGATCTTCACCGCACAGCGATTGCGCCACTTCGGGGTCTAAGAAGGTGACGAAGCTGAATGCCCTAAATGGTTTCGGGATGAAAACATCGGTGACCTCGCCAAATTTTGAGAAGTAGTCTTTAAGGTCCTCAGCTGTGAGATCTTCGGTACAACGACCGACAAACACTTTGCATGGCAAATGCTGAATTGTTCCCTCCTGCCAAATGGAAAGTTGTGATTAGAAATGGAACATTTATGGATTCGAATCATTGTTGAATTGATCAATTCAAAATTAAAATCAATTTTAAACTGAAATTTACCTTTGAGCTGGGCACTTTAACGTCACACCAACGGCCATCAATGAAGTGTCTCGATGAAAGGGCTTTCATTTGTCCCTCATACGATGCAAATCGAATAAATCCAAAACCCTTGGATTGACCGGTACGTAAATCCTTCTTGATTTGTACCATCAACACTTCGCCGATTGTGCTGAAGTACTCTTTCAAGCTTTCCTCGCTCGTTTTCCATGGCAATCCTATGTTAACGAGAATACAAATGAATAGAAATGTTAGTTTTCGATCATAAACATGCAAAATAATCATCAAACAAGAAAATAAAGGACTAACCAAGTACAATCAAATCAGTGCATTTCAAGCGGCTCTCAATGCGCTTCGTTTTGGCCGTTGAATTCTCGAGTGTGTCATCGCGTTTACGCTTGTTCTCAGCCACTGAATTGTCCTTTGGGAATACACACAAATAGATTTGATTTCCCCAGCCGTCTTCACCTTGCGGTGGATGCAGTCGTCCCTCAGTCAAGCGAATGCCACGAATGGCATTGCTCACCGAGTTGCGATACTTCAAACCCGATGTGCCCGGGAATTGTGCCTGCAATGTTGACAGCAACAATGTTCCATCATCTTCACCAGGCAATTCAATTGTCTCTTCTCCTTCTTCCTCAGCCACCTGCACATATTCCAACGACATTTTGGCTAAAGAAAAATAAAAATCAAATCACATAAATTAATCATCCAAACCAAAATTAACCTATCAAAACCATCAAGCCACAAACAATAAACAAATTACTCAAATTCTAAAATTGAAAACAAATAAAAGCGGAAAAGAATAAAATAAAACACAAAACGAAAATCACACATATCAAGCAATCTAACCGCACAGTTCAGTTTTTCTGTTTTCTTTTCATTCTTTTTTCCTCTTTACTTCAAACAAAAACATGTTCTTGTTAATTCTAGCAAATAAATTCCGCATTAATGATTTGATCAATTCTCGCCAATTCTTTCTCAGCTTTCGCATCAATTCAATGCACGCATATCCCCTTACGCTCATGGTTATCTTTACTATGACTGATTTTTTTGACTACTAAATTCTCAGCACCTTTTTCGGCTCATTCTTACACAACATTCATTTTTAGAAAATGGCATGGGCTCATCAAACAGTGATAAACGTGATTCGAATACAACTCCATTAAGACTTTTTTTTTAGATAAAAATCATTCAATTTATGAAAATATCTTCGGCCTTGTATGATGTTTTTTTTCTCTATAGATAGTGTTTATTTACATCAAGCAAAACAGAATTTTAAAATGAAGAAAATTCAAAGTTTTGAATGGTGAAGGCAGGGGAAAAATACATTTAAACACAAAAAAAAGAAAATCATTCGGCTAGAATGCATTTGGAAATCAGTTTTTTTTTTCAAAAATGTGTGCAATAATCTATAAATCTGAACGGTTTTAAAGCAAATATGAGTGATAAAAATAAAGAAGAGTTTCTAACTTCTTTGAGTCTTTGAATTGTTGTGAATATTTCAACTGAAACTGTTTTTTTTTCTCATATTCGCATTAAAACCAGAACAAATTGAATATGCAGGAGGAAAGGAAAAAAAAATAGGCGCCAGGAGAAACATCTAAATACATTAGACACACACCCACTGCAATGTGGTAAAATGGAGTCTATGAGTAAAAAACCGATTTGAAAATAGAATGATGAAAGCTGATTCATGTCGTGTATGTTTGTGTTATTTCAATGTTTGAATCTAAATGAAGCAGTTACTAAGGCAATAGAATGTGTGTTGCGTATGCGGGATTGTAACAAATGGTATGTAAAATGTCGTCAACAATTCGAATGGAATGCCTGATAAAAAAGAAGAAGATAGTTTTCGGAAGGAAGCGATGAAAGTGAGGCAGGTTAGTTTTCAGTCTAATGATAAGATGAGAAACTATCGATTGGGGACAACTGTAATCTAAGCGATGTTTCAATGGATAGTGTGTCGTTTGACTAGCAATGAAATACTCTTGGGATAGGCAATATTCATTAAAAAAAAGAAGATCGAAAAGCACTTTAGGAATGATATGTACAACAAACAAAAACATCATTAATGAAAGAAAAAAAAGCGCTCAAACTGCTACCAGACGGAAGTCGCATTCTGAATAAAGTAACAACAATAGCAACTACAACAACAGCGACGAAAAAAAGGTATTAAGATACATGTTTGTTGGAAAGTTTCCGTGCGGTTTTTTGTTTGTGTAAAATTTTGTTGAGGTTTTTTTTTTTTTCGTTCAACTTAAAAATAGAAAAGAAAATAAAAACATAAAAAAAAGTAGAAGCAAATAGTTCATAATTGATTCTCACACTCTCTATCTTTCGCACAAAAAGATTCACTTGGAAAATTCTTGAATTCGCTCTCTCGGCTCTTTCGTACTTATTATCTCTCTTACTCGCTCTCGCTCGCTTTTGCTCTCTTTTTATACAGGTGATTCAATGCGTCTCTCAAATGCCGTATTCACAGAATATGCAGATATATATATTCTTCACAGAGTTTTTTTCTTTCATAACACCACTTCTCAGATCATTCGATACACAAAGAGAGAGAGAAAATAGGTATATTTTCTATGAGAGATATAGAGATTGATCACACAGTTTGGCGTTCACAAAATTTAAAGAGCAACACACAAACAAACGTTTGCTCTTCTTAATTCACAAAAAATGTTCACTGTCTCAAACAGATATATTCTCACATATATGCAAATTGTATCTTTTGCTCACGGTTTCGCTCGCACTTTCGTTCAATTCAACATGAAAAACAATCTTTAGATTTGCTCGCTCTCTCTCTCTCTCTCTTTTTCTTTCGCTCTTTCGCTCTTGGTTTTGGCTGATCATCCGTGCTTCAAAATCAAACTTTCGATCTGTAATTGGATTGTTTAGTTAGAGATTTTTTTTTTATGTTGAGTGTGTTTTTTTTATTTGGTTTTCAGTTGCTAGAAAAAAGAATGGAGGGGATTAAAATACAAAAAAAATCGCTAAAAATAGATTCTTAGTTTTTCTTTTCTTCAAAATTACATTTGGCATAACAAAATGACATTCACTCTCATTCCGAATGGGGCGAATCAATCACAGAATTCAAAGGTGTATTAAACCACATTTTTGACATTCGGGATGGGATTCTGTTCCTTCTTTGCAATCAATCAACAGCAAACAATTGTTTTTTTTTCTCACACAACACACATCACTTTTGACGCAAAATCTTCCGTCAAACAGAGCAAATGCATCACAAATTTATTGGCTCATTTATTCATTGGGATTTCTCAAAAAGCTAGGCAATTGTTTATTTGTTTTGAAATTTTGTGTTCTTTTTTTGGGAGGGGTGTGATTGTGTTTATTTTGTTGTGTAGAATTGCAATGATTGTTCAGTTGTTCAGCGTAATTTTTGTTTTTTTCGTTGGCCCAAAGAAGGCCAGGGATTGTTAGGATAAACTAGATAAAAATATAGAAGAAGAAAAAATTGATTTAATTTACTCGTTGCGTTCGATTCCACCAAATGATTTCGGCATTTAAATGATTCTGAATCGTTTCTGAGCTTTTCACACACACTTTAAACTCAAATTAATTTTTAAAAAAACTCGGAATTTTCATTTAAAAAAAGACCGATTACGACTGGCGTCGGTAGGTTTTACGATATTCACGTAAAATAATTTTTCAAAATGGCTGTGCGGCAGCCGTTGCGGTTGTCATTGTTCACTTTTCATATGTTAATTTGGCGAATCGCTTCGGTTCTGTTTTCTAGCAGTATTTATTGACAGCTGCTGTTTTTTCTTCGTGCATCGGGTACCGATTATGGTACTTAAGCGTTGAGTACACTGTGTATTTCAGATTCAGTATTCAGTGAATACAGAAAATCAATTATATCAACAGCATTACCAGCAAAAACTGTAATTAAAATGGTCATTATAATGCAATTACTAAATTATTTGATGGTTTCGACAATTTTCCGACCAAAATCACCGTTGCCATAGCCAATGTAATCATTTTTAATGGGTTCTGAGTTGTCCGATGCGCGCAACCACTTCAATCTGAAGCCACAATGTAAACAAAGAAACTGCATAAAACGCTGTCATTGCTCGGTGGAAACGCGCGAATCGCAGCCGAAGTGAAGGCACGAAGTCATTTGTAAGTGAACGAAGAATGTGTATTGTAGAATAGCAACAAAGTGGATAAGACCTCAGCGCACCGATGACGTTTTTGAATTAACTACGTACCACAGCAAAAACGAATAAAAAAAGATCGACAACGACGACGACGACGGTCCACTTCGTTTAAAACAGTACAAAATAAAATTTATATCACATCATACACAGTTGAATGTGTGTTCCGAGATAAAATGAAAATTTATAAAAAAAAATTATTTTAATATCCATTCGTTTACCGTTTCTAATAACAACAACAACAAAACAATTTTGAAGGAAAAAAAAACTTGGTGCATTTTTTCTGTTCAGCTGTATTTGTATTCGTGCAAACTGTTTTTTTTATATCATTCCAATCTACGTCGTCATCGTGAGCTGAGTTGTGAAAGTATAAATTGAATTTAGTGTGCGATTTTTTTCTCTCTCTCTCTGTTGTTTCATTCGCCATTTAATCGGAAAGAATCTAAATTTTTGAGAGCGTAATAAAAGAAGAAGAAAAAAGCGAAAAAACATGGTGGAATCAACCGCAACTGACGGGGGCAATGTCGACGAAACCAGTTTCATTGGCAGCATCGTTGCCGAAATCATTTACAGTCCACTCAATTTGCTGTTAGTGTCTTTAATTGCATTTCTTATTTACAAAATCATCAAAAGCCGTTCAGACACCGGACCACCAAGTGCACCGCCCGAGCCCGAATTGCCCAAACTCCGAAAAGATTTTACCGTACAAGAGCTCAAGCAATTCGATGGCAATCAACCAGACGGCCGAGTTTTAGTTGCCGTTAATGGTCACGTTTATGATGTAGGTTTTAGTAATTATCATTATCAATAAGTTCATTTTGGGGTATTTTTCCAGTGTTTGAGGTGTAATGGTTTTTTTTTTAAATTAAAATCCAAATGTCATAATGTGTTTAATTCTTTTTTTCTTCTCTTTTTCTCTTTTCATTGCAGGTGACCAAAGGTCGCAAATTTTACGGTCCAGGTAAGTCAATTATGGAAATGCATTTGAACACACACACAAACACATATTTTCGTTTTATGTAATGGCCAATGACATGGTTGAAATAGGAACCATAAAGTAGATACGTACATAGAAAATGATACTGCTTCGAATCGCTTCATTGCATATCAAAAGTGTGCATGTGTTAATTATTATTTTACACGAATCGTCGCCGTTCGGCAAGCGTGTCTTCAAACTGGCTTTCACATACGTATGAAGAAAATTTACTGAACAAAAAAGGCGAAAAAAAAACGTGAATTAGTTATTAGGTGTTCATATCGAGTGCGACCCAATTGAGTGCTGAAAAAGCAAATGAAATAACGGGAAAATACCGTTTCTTTTAGGAAGTGTCGGCATTTCACATTCATATGTGCGATGTAATACTGACGTTGATAGTAGTTGCTATCAAAACGTGCGCTATTCACTTTTAATGAATTGTCTGCATTTTCCAAAATATTCCCGATTCAATCTACCGGCAGCGCATGAATTTCAAAAATTATTTCATTTTTCCTCACCACTTATCATTCACATCTATCGAAATGGTTGTTTTAATCATTACTGGCAAAAAAGAAAACGAAAAATATCGTATCGTCGATGAATAAATTCTTATCAAAATTACAACTGCCAACTACTTAGCGAATGAAAAAGTGAGTCAAACGAAACAGATAAAAACAAAAATACATTGGTTAGCGTCGTCAAGTAAAATTGATATGAATTCATCATCGTTTTGTTGAACGAAAAATGTCGCAAAATCATTCTACGTTTGAAATTCAAATTCATTCCCTTGCAAAATATTCTCTGGTCATTGTGTGCGAGTGTGGACATTAGGTAAATTTCATGGTTATTTATTCAGCGGTCGACCCGATCGCGAAATTATTCGTCATTTCGTAATAGTCTTTGCAAAGAATGCATACCTTACATATAGCATAATTCTAATCGAGAGAGATACTCTAATAAGATATTTATTCGGGTTGTCTCTATTAATGTCGGCATAAATATTGGCGAGTGTAACCGGTTATGGTATGACGAAACAATCATTTGTTTTTGTTCAACTTGAATTCATAGTCTATTCATCGAACGCAATTCCAAGCATGACGAAAATATTACTGGAATGTGACAACAGACACTTACATCATAGTTTTTCTTCATGCTTAAATATCTTGATAACTTGCACTCTTTATCTTTATTGTGTTGCGACTTCATCACTCAACAAATCTTATAGTATGTGTCGTCCGGTGATAATAGCTGACACATATTACGAGAGACGAAATCAATTGATTTCCTCAAAGCAGAAAAAAAAGCTGCGAAATATTAAATTTTAATAATTTATGACGTCGTTTGGATGAGTTTCTTTAAAAAAAATTGCGCATCTTCCAGAATGCAAACATTGAGCTTAAAAAATACTTATTTAGACAACTGATTGCGATTTCATTTCTGTTGTATCATGATTATCAATGCCGCAACAGCAACACAATTGCCGCAGTCATTTCGTTCTTATTCAAAAATCAAATGATAACATTTCATTTTCATTTTAATCCGAACGAAAAAGCACCTGAATCGACTAATTTGTGATGGGTGCATCTCAGTTGTCTGTGATCGCAATCCTTATCGAAATGACCACTTACACACCGATATCACACTGCGAAAATAAAATAACACGTCAGATTTTTCCAAGCCATTCTATTTTGGCACAATGAAGTCATAAATCTGAAATGAAATCCATTTGTTTTTGTATAATAAATAAGCGGGTGGATTCATAAACGATACTCTGTAATTCATGCATGTAAATCATCATAAAAATTTCGGTGTACCTGCTGTAAAATTGGTGAATTAATTTCTTTTGTCTAATACGTGCCGCTGTAATATCTTATCAATGATTGCCATCGCATTTGACGCCAGTTGTATGGTTAAACACGTTTTTTTTACTTAAGATTAAATTATTTTGATGCGTAGCTAATATTCTCGGTGGGAATTGATATGTTTTTATGCCATTTTTGAAGTCTGATTAGGTAATTGTAACTGGTTTTACAAAACTTTTAATGAAAACGTTTCATTTTGAAAGAAAACATATGATTTTCTAGATCAAGTTGAATCATAAGCAAGCATGTCCGCGAGCTCCTCCAGCGAGCCAGCTCCTCAATATGTGAGCGCTCAGCTCAGAGAGAGCTGGCTCATTTACGTGGCGTTACCATAGGAAGAAATGTCAGAATATTTTCACTTTTTTTAAATATTAGCTGTCAACATTCTGACATTTCTTTGTATTGCAACGCCACCTAAATGAGCCAGCTCTCTATGAGCTAAGCGCTCACATATTGAGGAGCTGGCTCGCTGGGGAAGCTCGCGGACATGCTTGATCATAATGTCGAGAGAGTTTGTAATTAGAACTCCTGACGAACATTTGCGTCATACCATGAAATCGTCAAGTATCAGACTTTCAAAAAAGTGTTACTGTATCAAGCTAAAAACAATTGTCATACAGATCGTGCAAAAAAAAATTCTCATTTTTCGTATATTACCGATAAGAACGAGGTCATGATCACTTAAGGAGACATTCTTTTTATTTTATGTCATTGTGGACACTTATTTAAAATTCGGTCACGAAAGCAAACAAATCTCAATATTTAATGGAATGAATGAGCAGCATGAATTCATGTGTTAATTTTTGTCCCTAGACAGTCAATTGAATTCTGAACTACGCACAATATTACATTCCAGATGAATTGCTGTTGAACTGTGATAAGGAATCCGAAATTACAATTCCATTTCAGATGAATAATATGTCAAGAATGTTGACATGTGTACATCTGCTTCGAATAAATATGACGAAATATGCGTAATAAGCGGAGTGGATCGGGCAATCAAACGCGCCAAAAAATGCAATAATCAAATAGAGTTGATACGGTAATTTATGCTGATGTATGGAAATCAGAAGCATTCTAATGAATCGTTTAGAAGTAGTGTTGGCTGTTGACTTAGGTCAAAGTCCAGCCAGTTGATTGTCAACATGAATGATTATCATTATAAATAGAATCGATTGTTTTCTATAGTCGGTTTTATTTTTTGTTGTGGTTATTGTGCTTGCGAAATTTACAAACCCAATTTAAATAACGTTTGAAAAAAATGCACGGTTGAAATAAACTTTTACTTACCGAAAACCGAACAGTCAGTCAAAGAAACTTGAAAAAAGAATTCAAATGTTTGAATAAAAAATGGACGCTCAAAAGCTGAATATCTAATATGTTTGGTCAGAATTGAACTTGAATACAAACCAGTTTTGTGTGCCATGCAATCGTCCGAGCAAAAAGTCATCAATCGGAACTGAACATATTATTCACATATTGGAAAATTACAAATGACACGAATTGTCACGACACTGACTAAAAGTTCACCGGTCACCCGGTATAGTTGGGACGGCCATTTTTATCGATTTATTGCGAAAGTCATATTTCTTGAGCTACTGAAATTATGTCAAACTACTGAAACATCGTTTGGAAACGTGTTTTAGTTGTACGGCATGAAACGATGAAAAAAAAAGTAAATGGTTAATTGGCTGACACACCTTTCAATTACCGTAGTTGAGTAATGCAAAAGTAAAGACAATTATCATTCGACAAATAATACGAAGCCGATGTATTGAGAACATTTCATTCTTTGCTTGAAGAATAAAGCTATTAGGCATTCAAGCATGCATTTCTATTAATTCAACGACTTTGATCTTGTTTTCACTTCCCCGTATTCATGTTCGTTTTGATTTATTTCCATTCCATAGGTGGTCCCTATGCTGCATTCGGCGGCCGTGATGCTTCACGTGGATTGGCGACATTTAACGTGACCAGCTCCGATACAGAAGAATATGACGATTTGAGTGATTTGGACACCATGGAAATGGAATCGGTTCGCGAATGGGAAATGCAGTTCAAAGGTATGTCAATGTCCACAGTTGTGTTTTTTACCCCCAGATTCTATTTGATTCGGATTCAATTCATGGTAAATTTTCACTTATTTCCAGAGAAATACGAGTATGTTGGACGTTTGTTGAGACCTGGAGAAGAGCCAAACAGCTATTCAGATGAGGAAGAAGAGCCCAGTGAATCGGCCAAATCAACCAAAACCGAAGACATCACCACCATAAATTCCACAGATGCTACCGTACCAGCATCCGACAAACCGAAAGACGAATGACTGATACGATTCGAACCAGTCGATCAAACTAACAGCTCCAATAACAGAACCAAAACACTCACATCCGCTAAAGTATCATCGAACAGTAGTAGTTCTAATAAAGTAAACAATAATGAAATTATTGGAGCAAATGGCACAAATGATCAACGGCAAAAACAATAAAAAAAAACCACACACAGAAAAAAATAACATTGTATTGTGATACGTTCGTTCTTTTTACGCATTTTTTTGATTTTTGTTCTCGTGTTTAAAATGGACATTTTTTTATTTCTTTTGAAAATCACGGAAAATTGAAAGAGATTTAAAAAAAAAAGAAGAAGAAAAGAGTGAAAAGTAATGAAAAAAATTGCGATTGTGAGCTGAATGTGTTATATGTTGTGGAGCAAATGGAGGTAGCCATACAGCTTTCCTTATCATAAGCTTTATATTCAATTCCAGTAACTATTCTTGATATTATTGCTGTAATTGTAGGGACTCAGAACCACTAAAAATCAGTTTTTTTTTCTCATATTTGTTTGATTTTTTCGGTCTTCATATTATAAGAAAACACACACACACACACACAAGCCAATTTGGTTATATACAATTTACAATGCATTTTTCCAATTGTATTTTTTGAATCGCCGTTCTTTTTATATTAAAGTATATTTAAAATTTACATACACGTGAAAGAAACACATTTAGAATTGAAAATGGTAATGTAATTGTTACAAAATAAAATATTCTTGAACATACATTGTCTGACTCAATCATTGTCCAAATGGTTCACTCATCGGAATAAACTATCATCAATTCGAATCACTTGATCGTGATTGTCGGGTTAGATTAAAATCATATACTTAGCGTCAATGAGCCAGCCACGCCACTGTGGATCAGCGCACAAAATCGTAAGCAATCGTATTTATCAGCATGAAAGTATTATTTTCCAGCACAAACGAAGAGTACAGTAATAAATGAGTTCAATGGTCCTCAATGCTGATTTAGACAATTTTACAGTGTACATCGCCATATATTCAACCACAAAATTCTGTTCGGTGTATTCTTTGAAGAAAATCATTTGATGTTGGTAATAGAAGTTGTGATTGATTTGGATGAAAAATATCGTATGAGAAAATTTTCGGAGTTACAACGCCTTCTGAGTATCCATCCAAATCGATTGCATTGCCCTTTTCCGATTTTAGCAAGGGAAGACACATTACGCCCATAAATAGCCCAAATTTTGCAAATTTACGGAAATGCTCCAACATCAATGCATATGGAAACAGTTTTTCTGGCTCAGAGCCCAATCTAGAATTATTTGTTGATAATTATCAACAATTAACATCAATTTTATATTAAAATATATTAGAAAATTATAAAAATGTGTACACATCTCATTACCTTCGAATATAGGCAGATAAAGATTCGTAGTTGATATTCAGGAAATCGTCATAGTGCGCGTCTCTCAGTTCTTTCGTTGTGCAAGAAAATATGTAATAAGCGATATCGATGATTGGCGATGAATGACGTGATATTTGCCAGTCCAAAAGACGGATTTCGATCGGTTTCTCGTTTTTATCATATCTCAACATGGTATTATTTTGCCAGGTGTCCCCATGTGAAATCACTGTAGCTGCCCCAGTAAGCTCTACTTCAAGGCAATCAGCTGCAATATCCATTGGATGTTTCTCGAAAAGTTTCTTCACTTTGGCCACCAAATGAGCATCCTCTTCATCAGACAATGGATTCAAAACGCGTTGCGACTCTTCTAAACATTTCGGCGAATATAGTTCTCACACAAGTCCGATGAAAAATCCTTAAACTTTTCTGGCTGTTGATCTTTCAAGGCAAACGAAAGTGCGTGTAACTTACTCAACGCTTGCATCACCAAACGAACATGATCAGCAGTAATCTCTTCGGTGTTACGGTCGATGATTCGGAAGTCACGAACACTTAAATCTTCGAGTAAAACACTTTCACTCGGTTCTTCGTCGACAGTTCGATAACAGATTGGGTATTCAGTGAAACCATTTTCTTCAAGAATTATACCTTTTGACTCTTCAAACTTTCGAAAATAGGGCAACACCTGAATGTACACTAACATTTAATACGTTTTTCCTTTGAACGAACTTTTTATTTTTGATTCATTTCATCTTCAACTTACCTCATTGTACATGTAGATCTCACGCAAAAAAACAAACTCTTGAAGTCCAAACACACGGCGTGCTGCATTGTGGGGAGCAATTTTCAGAATTAATTGTTCATGTTTATCTTCACCATCTTTGTTAAACGACACTCGATAAAGGATTCCAGAGAAATTATTCTCTCCTGCTTGCGATGCGGAGTTTATAAAAATTTTATGGTTTTTCGATTTTATTTTCTTTTCAATAGTTTCACGAAGTGCAGCACGAATCACGTTAGATGGAATCTCCAATAAGTCTGATTCAGCCATGTTCAATATAAGTAAAATTTTTCTATTAATTTTGTTTAAATTTACGTTCAACTCTTAATTTCGTGATTTTTGTAGTTTTATTTATTGATATGCTTTCTCAAAAAATGAACATTCAATGAAAATACTTATTTTATTCTATCTCTGAATTGAGGCTGCTCTTCACGTGAACTACTCAAGAAATACTTTGCATCAGTGCCGAGTTAACCAAATTTGGTGCCCGAGGCAAAAATGATTTTGGTGCCCCTTGCAATTTTTTCCCGTTATATATACAAATATTTATTGATGAAATGAACGTACATATCGAATGCGAGCGGCAGCGAGCAATTTTTTTTTTAGAAATACCTTTTGGGGCACCAAAAACATTTTTGGACCCATTTTTGGCTGCGTGTTTTCTTTTTCAGATTATTAAAAAAAATGAGCATGCTTGTGGTGTCCCCAAGAACGTGGTGCCCGAGGCAACTGCCTCATTTGCCATATGGCTAAATCGGCACTGCTGTGCATATTTGTTTGATTGCAAGCGGTTCTTTGATAAAGCTGTAGTTATTATTATATTTGAAGTTATCTGAACTATAGATGTCTTATCTTATCATTTTAGCCAATAATTGCCTTTTTTTAAAAAATCCGAACAAAACAGAATTATTCAATTGATTGTGCAATGTGCAGTCCATCGATTATGACAAGTACTCCGGTTGAATCGTTGTCGGTTCACATCTGTAAAATAATTAGTTCTCTTCACATAAATAGTAATGATAAGTATTATTTGAATTTGGCGGCGTTTTATTTTTGAGGCGTTATAAAATTAGAGTTGCCATAATTCACAATAAAATCCATCAAATCTCAAATTTTTTTTTTGCAAAGAAGTGGTTTTTATTCATTTTTCTAAAATGATATGAGATAACAAAGTGGTTTTAAAAACCGGGAGCATTTAATATTTTGGTGATAATTAAAGTCATATCGGTGTTGACCTTGACTCGTTTCATTTCCATGATCAATCGCAAATAATCCATTTGCACTTGATTTTCGCCGACATTAATCTGATTTATTATGTTAATGGGGATATCAAGGAATTGGATTAGTGCAGCGATATTGCGCAGTTTTTCCTTATCTTCGAGTGTGCACAGGAATGAAATATTTGGTGCATATAAAAATTGTTGCAAATATCCTGCGTATTCGATGATTTTTGTTTCAATCAATGTTTCCACACGCTTTACCAAAGCATTCAAATGTTCAGCCGATAGAATCACGTTGCTCGGTCGGTATTTCACGATTGTTTGCATCAATTTCAGTTGCCAAACATCGAAACTCTCTGGCGAGGCTATTAAACGGAAATACGACATCAACAGATCGACATAAATGTAAAGTGCATGCATCGTATCCTTTGTTAAGCAATGGTAAAATTGTAGCATAAATAACTGCAAGAATTTTGAGTCTTCACTCAATTCATCTTCACTGGTTAAAAATTTGTTGATAAAATTTTGCACTTTTGAATTGTTAGTGAATGCAAGCAGATTCAATGGCTGAAATGAGATCAAAATAAAATTAGTTTAAAAAGTCTTCAAAAAATAAGAACAAGATTTTTTAAATTGAAACCAACATGAGTGCGCCAGCAAACATAGCGTTCAGTGCTGAGAGTGTAGGCAAATGTACTTCGCAAATTGGTCGGATCATCGATGTGAGAAACACAGCCGGCCTTTTGCTTTATATCGACACAATTGCATTTTCTTATGATTCGCCTATAATAATTTAGTGAAATAATGTCAAGAGAGAAAAATCAGAAATTCAGTGGTGAAACTCACTCAAAGTCTTCCCAGTTAAATCCCTTCTTGAACTTGATCAACCAGTAGTTTGGATCTTCGAAGCAAACTTCAGACAATTCGTTGAGCTCTGGCAACATGCACGGTGCCATTTTTGAAACAGTCTTACCGTCTACAGTCGTGTAGGTTATGTTACACGGACACAATTTTCCGGTGTCAATATCACGAGGCAGAACGATTCGCGGTTCGACAGCTAACACATATAAATGGCGGAACGCCTGCAGATGATAACGATTGTCGTTGCTGTGAATTGGAAACTTTGGGAACAGAGCACAAATCAAGGCAGCTATTGCTTCCGGAGAGCGTGATAGAGTGAAGCGACCAGCACCCAAGAACTGGAAGCCAATCGCCATGTGCACAGCCATATGAGAACCGTATGTAACATGCGAATAACCCGAACCAAGTCGATTCCTTAGCATACGACATCGCCGCAGAACTTTTAGATCACCACTGCCAGCGTTCACCTAAGAAATGGAGGAAAAATTGAACCGTGTTAAACAGACAGAAGATCACTGAGTAACGAAAAAATGTGAAATAAAGTCTTGTGCTGTCATAATTCACACAAGTATCGATGGAATCACACGTACCAGTGAACTGGCCAAGAGAACAAGCATCAGACATGATTCAACCGTTGGTTTTCCCGCACATTCCGTAAGATACACGGAGCTTGAGTTCAAGAATAGTTTGAAGATTTGATCCAAAATGGCTGTGGCTTCTTCGTTTTGTGTACCGGCATAGCGTAGTCCCAAACAAAATGCTGCTCCAGCGGTAATGTTGCAATAGGCTTGACTGAAATTGGAAATTACGATTAATAAATTAAAATCGTGAAAATTGTCTTAGAAGATTGCAATTTTTCTCACGCAAACGATTCATGATCAGCAACTGAGTCGTCGATAGTTATTGGAACTTTCTGAAGATCAATTTGTAACCACTTTGGAAATTGGCTTCGAAGCCATTCTTTCGTCGGTTTAATTTCATCCCAAAGGATCAAACCACGTGAAATGACGCGTAGCAGAAGTAAATCTGGCCGAACATGATCCAGAACGGCATGAGTATCTGGTGGATCCATCCAACTTGCAACGGATTTGTTACCAGTTCGAATGAACATCAATCCGAGTGCAAAAGTGGCACCCGGTGCGGTAACGTCAATGTTTACCGTTTCACCTTCGCGCACTTGGAACGATTGGAATTTGTATTTCTCCTTTTGAGTACCTGTTCGAAAATAATTCGATAACTCGTTTGTATCCAAATCCGTATTCATGTTTCTACACTAACCTGTTAGCATGTCTCGTCTACCGCCAGTCATATAACGATGTAAAATGTCTGGCAGTTTGAGATCAGCCAATCCGGGTGCGGTTTCACCTCTGCCAAGTGTTACTAAACCCAATGCCAATCCGGCTGTCAACGCATACGACTCTCTTTCGACACAATTTTCCATTTCAGGTCCTGGAGGACGACCTATTAATAAAAATAATAAAAATGATACGAAAATATGCAAAGGAAATCATTTTAATCCCACATCAAATAGTTAAATAGAGCAGACAATTCAAGTCAATTTCCAAAACTATTTTCTCAAATTAAATACTTTATTACTTACCAATTTCCTGCACCAAAACCTCGGCAATGTGCCGTTTGGCTGTTCCTTGATACAGCAGCCCAATGCCCATGATGGCTGCAATCTGAACATTTTGCGAAATATCCAACTCGAGTGCTGTTGGCGGCAGAAGAGCTTCAATGTGAATCGAGAGAAGTTTCGTGGTAGATGTATCCATAGTTCCTCTATGTGCCGCTGACATTCCAATTAAAATTCCAACATTAGTCATTTCATCGCACTTCACCAAGTAATCGTACAAACTCATCGATGACAATATTTTCAAATGACCGGTTAAACCAAGTGCCATCAAAAACCCGGCATGTTCTGTGGTGCCATCGTTCTGTGATTTCGGTTTGTTGTACACAATCCACGCCGAGTCGATGTTCTTACTTTCAGCTGTTAGTTGTAACCCAGCGGCGACGCCATTATGAAACAATGGCCATATATTCATATTTGCCGGCACTTCAATGGTAGACATCTCGATGATTGCGCCTTTTTCCTTCTCTTTTCCGGTCAAACACAGTTTTGGAATGTCAAATGACTCGGTGGCGGCCGGAGAAAATGTTTCCAGTGTTAACATACCTCGACCAACTGGCAGCGACATGGTACGTGTGCAAATTGAGAGTAATTGTCGTTCTCGTTCCTCGATAAAATCATGATCGGAAACGCCAAGTCTTTGAACAATATCCACAACAACTGGACTTGAACTGGCCAACATTTGGCGGACATCTTCAATGCGTAAATCCTTCGGGAATCGCAATCGAATCAATTTTGTGTAAATGTGTGCCATTCCATCACTGTTGACATTTGCATTGGCTGCACTTTCCGAAGCCGATTGACCTCGCAATGTCAACGAATTCTCCGTTTTAAAACTGCTATGTTTGCGCGATGAAATCTCTTTTGTTGGATCGAATAATGTGTTGCTGAATAGTTCCGGTCGACAAATCAAACCGAAGGCTCGAACATCATTGACGGCTGGTATATCAACTCGGCAGCTCTCCAATATTTCGGCAATTAAAAAGTGAATCGATGGCGGAAATCGTGACATTTGCTTTCTCGATAGATTCATTGTCAATAATTGTTCGAGGGCTTTTGATCGAATTTCTTCGTCGCTTAATTTTGTTCGATTTATTTCCATCGGTTGATCTTTTTGCTTGAGTGCATTAAACTGATACGTTCCATCGATGAGTCCTTCGCTTGTCACCATTGCAATCAGCTCGATAATTTGCTTACTAATCGGATTCACACTTGGAATATACGGGTAGGGTGAAAATGCATCTTCACCATTCGTAAACAGGTCATTGATAATACCATAAATGCTTGGAATTTTCAGAGTTAGACAATGTTGATCGTACAATACATTACGGTCAAGTTCAGCTATCGATCCATTACCATACATCAGAACTAAGTCGGGACAATCTAAGAAATAGTGTAAACAATATGAATCCAATTGCAAATCAAGCGCCAACTGATTCAAAAACTCCGAAAGCATTGTTCGTTGCGTTTTTAGCGTTTCATCGAACTTCATTTCTTCGTACAGCAAATGAAATGAGAAAAATATGATCGGAATATACGGTGCAAGTGTTGAATTCATATCGATTCGACGTTTGGACTTGGATTCTTTGACGGTTTTCTTAGGATCCGTATTAGTTTTGTTCAATACAGCCAATAAATATTGGAAATCATAATCTGACCCAACTGGATCATCCGTTTTGCGACGTTTCTTATTGTCGCCGGTTGATAGTCGAGATGGTCCTGCAATATTCGGTGCGGATGCGAATGTTTTTGTCGAAATAAATGTTCGACCCATTGCATTCAGTAGGTAATTATGAAACGTTATCCACTCATTCTCATAGCTAATGTCCTGTGAGCCACGCGTATTTCGCACGCTATACCATTTGGATATGATTGAAATTGCCAAATCGCGTTTCAGAACGGTGCGCAAAACAACCAAACACTTTGTCACCAAGGGACACTCACTCAATGGGGGCAGTGTTATACGATACATGGTGTCATTTGTGTACTGCAAAGTGACTCGATTACTACAAACATCGCGTAAACTCAAACATGTACTGCTACTGCTGTTACTTCGCAAATTGTACTGTGAATGCAATGGATAGACGGGTGACAATAAATGTACTTCGTCGTCAAAACTAGATTCGGTCGCCGATACTGTTGGCAATAAGCTACTTCGCCGCGGAAATGCCGATTGAACAGTTTGAGCCACTTGCGGTTGGCGAGGTAAAGTTATACTTCCAATATCCACTTTGCCAATCAATATTGAACCGCTGTACAGAATCAATGATCCGCAATGCGCCAGAATCGCAATCACTTTCAATGACTAAGATGGAAAAAAACGAAAAGTATGATTTATTTATTTTTTTTCTCAATTTTGGCAAGGCTTTAAATTGCAATAAATGAAAATCATTCTGAATTTCGTGGACACAAAATAAGCCGAACACATGAATTTACAAACTTACGGGAACATTAATCGCATCTTTGGCCGGTACAGACGAAGACTTGCCCACCGTTGGTATGTCTGGTGAATTGGACTTTTCCAATCGGTACATCATCAAAATGCCAGTCTTCTTCAGCAAGTAACATATGAATTTTTGTCCGATAAAATCGACATGCAAAAAACCACGGGCCGCAATATCGGGAAAATCTCTGTAAATGACAAACAAAATTTGATTTTTGGTACAATTCAACTTTTAGGTTAATTCACTCTATAGATAGATGAATAAATGAATGATCACATGCGACTTTTTTTTTCTTCATTTTGTGTATCAAAATTATACCTGGTCCCGATGCTTTCAATCCAAATGCTCTCAAGACATAATTCGGGCACAATTGGTTTCGATGGTTTTGCATATCCAACTTTGGGTTCATCTTCAACAAACGTATTGGGAGCATCAGATGATGATTGTAGACGATCGTAGGGTGATTGCATTTGTGTTTTACTACTTTGTTGATGAAGAATTCGGTTAAAAATGTAAGAGAAAATCAATAATTCAGAACAATTTCAAATGAAACTTTAGAAAATCAGCAAAAATATTCCAGAATGAATCAAATCCACTTTAATGGTGCTCATGAAAATATGAAAAACCTAACTTACTCGAAAGAAATTCCCAATTTTGAACGAAGCGACTGTGCATTTGGTGTCATGTTCAACAGTTTCGACGTATGTAACGAAGACGCATCCAAGCTGGAGCGATTTTGCATCGGAGAATTCTTTTGTTTGAAACTCAGGCCGGATCCGTCGAATCGAACGGAGCTCGTGGTGTACAAATCCATATTCGAAAGGTTTAAATCCGATGAGAAAATATCATTTTCGGTTAGCGCTGTAAAATTGAATGTATTTTAATGTTGTTTTTGTCACAGTTGTCGAGATTTTTTTTCTTAATTGTTAAGGAATGATAAGAAACCATTTTATTCACATCACTGATCTCTCTCCATGTACTCACCTCCAACTTTTTGCTTTTCATCTTGTGTGGCTTTTCGTAATTTGCACAGAATATGCTTGCCAATTTTGCCATCGTGAATCATAACCAAGTTATGTTCAACAACGGTGAATGCGACCGAAATTCGGGCCTCTGTGACAAAATTGATGTGACCGTTCAGCGTTTTCATGAGTATCGGGCAAATATCGTTCAATGGATGGCTTAGTGAATAAAGACGTGGCATGGCCAATGAATGCACATCGTCAACTGTTGCCGATGATGCGTTCTTCTCCAACAGTAATCCGTATTTGGTTTGCATGACATTCGAAATTGGAAACGGAAAACTAGTGCGATAATCTTCACCACACGGCGAATACACGCGCAATGTTTCTGAATCAATGAGGCAAATGCCGAATTTCATTGAGTCTTCTCGCGTTTTGCTATCAAATTCCAAAATGGTTTTCCGCTGTCTTTCGTCTCGCTTATCCGGATTCGGTGCTTTGAAGAATGAACTCGGGCAGAAAAATGCAAATCGAATGGTTGACTGAACGGTAAAGCATGTTGTTGGCAATTTTCGTGGTTTGTCCCCGACAAAAGCACCTTTCGTCCATACAGCCACACAGCCTTTCGCATACAATTCATGCTCTTCGTCACGTTTGCACAGCTCATCATCGACATGTGCTGTCGTTTGTATGCATTCGTCCAATTTAGTAAAATCCCGGCTGACATCTTGAATGCACCAAAACTCAGTCGACGATGAACTATCCGATGATAAGTTTACATTTTTCAATCGATTTAACAGTAGATTTTCAGCTGAAAATTGAACTGGCTTTCGCACATTCGCACGTTCCGGATGCTCTGTAGCCGTCTGACGACCACGGGGAATAAATTCCTACATTCAAAAAAAAAACGATTCAATGAATAACCTGTCTTGCACTAAACACTCTTATTTTCTTAGCAATGATCGGTTAATTACCAGAGGTTCAGATGCGGCTATCATCACTTCTTTATAGTCATCCAGATTGCCAAATTATCGGACCACAACAAAGCAACACTTTTCTGAATTGTGCAGAAAAAAAAATTCTGACTAAATGCTAACTAATGTGAGAGAAAAAAAACTAAATCGCCGCACCGGCAAAATGCGCAATTGACCGATACAAATTTTTTCCTAGTAAACAACATTCAAAGTGTTTGACAGATGACACACGATGACAGTCGTGGTGGCAGAAAGGCGCGAAAGCACTACGAGTTACAGCGCCATCTTCTGACGGATGTTTACATTGAACATTTTGAATGCTAATGCGATACAATTTCATTTAAGGATAATAAAATTCGATATTCATCTTCTGCAGATCCAATTATTATTATGTGTAGTTGTTCGTTTTGCGTTAAAAGGTTTCTGAAAATTGAAATGCTCCGCTTCGCTACGCACTCCTATTGCTTGCTTCGCGAGCTTGTGTTCGTACTTATGTTGCATTGTTTTTCCGTTTGTTTTCGACAAAATAATATTTTCTTTATTCATTAGTTATTATTAGAGCAATTTTTTGGAAACAAATGAAAATCAACCATAAGCTTTTCTTTTTCCAATAACAAATCAGATTTAATTATAGAAAATGAAGCTGAGCACAAAAACATTGAAACGAAATTTTTTCGAACCGCAAATTCATTAAATACATTGTAGATTTTTTAAATCAACTTTTGAGCTGGTGCTGGTGTAATGGTTCAATTTGTGAACTAATTCATTTAATATTCAAGTTTATTTGTATTATTTTAGCTATTTTAAAGCCCAAACTAATAATTCAAAGCTTCTTTAGAAGAAATGTGTCCAACTTCCACAGAATCTATTGAGAACATTCACAAATTTGTTCATTCAAGTCATGGTTCGAAGAAGATTCATGAATGTATAAATTTTCCGCATTATCTGTGGTAATAAAAATCCAAAATAATATTCAAAGTGGATAAAAAGAAGTCTACTATCTAGTCTATCGATATTTACTTCAACGAACAATGTTATGTCAAGTTTTGAACCAGCAGTCTTCAGAACCCTAGCTCTCTGTACGATATTGATCATAAACTGGAAGTCTCGTTGCAAATCAAGAGGCAGAAGATAATAATTTGCCTGAAGAATTGTGTACTCCAATTTATCATTCTTTTAGAAGAAAAAAACGAACGAAAATATTTGTCCCTGTTTCAAATGAGGCTGTGAGAATGAAAATGGCAATACAGGAATAAACATTCTGAAGCGCATCAAGAAAAAAAAATTCGCAAAAGTGAATCATGAGTTCTGAATACGCAAAAGTGAACCATGAACCTCCTATGCTGCCCATGTAAATTCATGTTTCACTTTTGCATATTCAGAACTCATGATTCATTTTTGCGATTTTTTTTTCTTGATGCGTTTCAGAATGTTTATTCCTGTATTGCCATTTTCATTCTCACAGCCTCAAATAGATGAAAATTGAATCTTACTGCAACTTCGATAACAGTTCCTAACGCACAGAATACGAATAGTTGAAAAACGCAGCAAACAGCCAGAAAATATGCGGGATACCAGGTCATCTGTGTGGATTTTATTCATGAAATGAAAGTTTTAACTGAGATTATACGGTGGATTGAAGAGTCGTTTCGTTTTACCGTCATAATGACATAAACGATGAGTGTCGTACAAAGCGAAGAAGTCATTATTTGGACAAAGATCATCCAAAAATATGTGTCATTGATGAGTTCGATATATCTGAAATTACACCAATTCAAACAATAAATGTCATTTTTAAATTTCATCAAAAGTATTACTTTTCCATTTCGAGATTCATCAAGAAGAAATTGGCCAATCGAGTGCGAATCTTCAATTCATGTGGTCTGTCAGCATTCAATTCATCATCCAGCGTTGAAAGTTGATTACACTGTAACTTGGACATTATGAACACGTTGAAAACCAAATTAGAAAATAAGGCATCATTAAATCCAAATCCAATGCCGGTCATATAAAGTACAACACAATGATAAATTGAAGTGACGACGAAGCCTTCTTTCGTGTTGAAATCGATTCCAAGCAGATAAAGTGGCAGCCATGGTTCTTTCATTTGAAAAATGGCAAACATCAGCACGGGAAACAAAAGGAATATGATGACACACAAAAAATATAACGAAAGAAGTGCAACTGTTATTAAGAAATTATGCAAAGAGCACTCGTCCATGATATCTCGGATCCTTTTCGAAGGTTTCTTTTCATTCACCACATGAATGTTCTCAACAAATGAAGACTGAAATTGAATATGAATTCGTTATACATTAGGGTGGTCCAAACTGATTTATCATGGTAAGGTATATGCTCCAAATAGCACAAAATTAAATTGGGCTCAAAACTAGCTGATTCCCTTTTTCAGATAAAAAAATGTTAAAATCTAGTGGTCGATAGAGCCGTAATGGCTGTTTTTGACCTATTTTTCAACATATATTTATATTGATAGAAAACCCATAGGTCATTCAAACCGAATCTAGTGACATATCAGTTTTAGGGTTTTTTGGGACGCTGAACATGAATCCGTTGTCAAAAATTAGCTAATGTTGCTTTTTAAAATTTTTAGTACAAAACATGGTTTTTTTCAAACAAATTCAGGCATATAGCAAAAATACATGGTTCCAAATGTATTTTTAACGCCAAATTTGAACTCAGCGCCTCAAATTGCCTTAAGATTAACTATGCTGATGACAAAAATCGAATAATCTCAGAACTACAATTTTCTAGTAGTGTTCACATATCGAAAAAAATCACATTTTCCACGTATTTTTCCACCAAAAGTAAATTTTTGTTCAAAGCAGCCATTTTTATGGTTTTTTAGGCCGCAGAATTCGAATCCACCCAAAAAGAAATAACAAAATTTTCAGTGGGAAAAATTGATATTTTTCTATACATTTATACGGATTTTTTGGCATTTTTTCGGTTTTTCTCCCATAACTCGTACCCCATATGCGGTGGAGCAGAATTTTGTGCCGAAAAGTTTAAGATCTCATTGAAACCTACCATTTTGCCGCAGACATCACTTATCTCTTATCAGTAAGGAGATAATGGCCTTGATAGCTTTTATCAATTATCACTTTTATCTCCTTACTGATAAGAGATAAGTGATTACTATTTGAAGCACAATTGTAGCTTTCAATCAGATTTAAAACTTTGTTGAACCAAATTCTGCTCCGTCACATATGGGGTTCAAGTTGTGGGAGAAAAACCGAAAAAATGCCAAAAAATCCGTATAAATGTATAGAAAAATATCAATTTTTCCCACTGAAAATTTTGTTATTTCTTTTTGGGTGGATTTGAATTCTGCGGCCTAAAAAACCATAAAAATGGCTGCTTTGAACAAAAATTTACTTTTGGTGGAAAAATACGTGGAAAATGTGATTTTTTTCGATATGTGAACACTACTAGAAAATTGTAGTTCTGAGATTATTCGATTTTTGTCATCAGCATAGTTAATCTTAAGGCAATTTGAGGCGCTGAGTTCAAATTTGGCGTTAAAAATACATTTGGAACCATGTATTTTTGCTATATGCCTGAATTTGTTTGAAAAAAACCATGTTTTGTACTAAAAATTTTAAAAAGCAACATTAGCTAATTTTTGACAACGGATTCATGTTCAGCGTCCCAAAAAACCCTAAAACTGATATGTCACTAGATTCGGTTTGAATGACCTATGGGTTTTCTATCAATATATGTTGAAAAATAGGTCAAAAACAGTCATTTTAAGTACGGCTCTATCGACCACTAGATTTTAACATTTTTTTATCTGAAAAAGGGAATCAGCTAGTTTTGAGCCCAAATTAATTTTAAGCTTTTGGGAAATTGTTAAATGATATTTTTGATTATTCATACCAAGAACCTGATCTCTGTTCGTTTTGTAGCAACCGTATAAACTTTACTAAAAGCCTAGAAATATTACGCTTTTTATAATGTATCAAACGATCAATTGACAAGCACAAAACAAGATATATACTCTTGCTTTGTGCGTGTCAATTCAACTCGACAATGGAATATATTTATTAGGCAGTGTGATTTAAATTCTACCTGCAATCCAAGGCTAAAACACGTTGTCCCCTTAAAAAACGCTTCCGTGTCAAATGCGAACATTGTATAAACGCTCGAGATCAGCACCGACGTTACCAAAGTGACAATGAAGAGCGATGCCAGTGAAAATTGGAAATCTTTGTCCAAAATATTGAGACCAATTGCGGTTGAAGTGAATTGAAACCATTTCTCGAAAATCAATTGGAATCGCTGATACGGTGTCATGTTCAATGAGAAAGCCATTTTGTTCGACTGTTTGAATATATTTCGCTTCCAACGTTTTTATAACCGTGGAAAACAAATGTGTTTGCGTAGTTGATTGCAATGCTCAATTATGAAATTAGAAAAACAATCAACAACTGGAGCCTTTTTAATTAAGAAATTAAAATAAAATCGTTCAAACCATAAATTCCACTGCTATGCAGTGTAAAACCAGCTGCATTTTCCCATGTTTTTCCTATTTGCTTCTATCAAAACAAAATAATTACCATTTGCAGAAATTCCCTTTTCCCAAGTTCACAGTGCGCATAAAATATGTATAAGATATCGATACATTCTTTTTGCTTTACCAATGCTGAAAAAGAGTTTGACTAAAATTAAAGTCAGCCAATGTCAGAAGGAATATCAGAACATTTAATTGAAACACTAGTAAATTGAGCCATTATTCAAATTTGATTTACAAAAAAAATCGATGGGTACACTTTGTTCCGAAAACGAATTCTTTCCCATAACCAACCTACGTCAATTCTTCTGACGTCAGAATATTTATTTGCAGAAAAAAAATGAATGAATACAGAGAGTCATCATTGAAATTCGAATTGCTGAACAAATAACAAATTGTTATTAAGTTCGAATTTCGGCTTTAATATTCACTAGGCCATCAGCGTAATTTTTCAAACAAATGAGAATTAAGCTCAATACGATGTCGATTTTTCGAATAATTATTCACAATTGATCATAGGAAATAAAACTATATTCTATCATGTCTACGGAATACATTCATAATTTTTTCTTTTCAAGTCAAACATGTTCGACTGGAAAGTGTGCGCCTTCAAGTCAACCTTCTAAGACACATGATGAATGCGACTGCAATCCGCAAACACTGGATTTGTTTGACTTGAATCAGAGAATGTCAGAAAAAACAACAAATTAATTGGGAAATAAGTAAATTGCTATTAAGGAAATTGCTAAATCGAACATTTGTTCTACTTCTTTTGATGAGTTATTAAAATAGGGGGAGGTAATTTGGATCCCTTTCATTGCTTATCAATTCAAAAGTAATTTATCCAACAGAACGAAAATGAAACACAAAACCAGGTGGATTTGAAAAAATAATTCTCATTTCATGATGTATGAATAAAATCAGATTGTTTCGAAACAAGTTGTCAAAAGGAATGAATTCAACGATATTCCCATTAGGACCACAAAATATCTAAATTATCCATATTTAGCTTCTTCCTCGACTTTTTTTGAAATTCCTGGTTGGCACAAGGTCATCCAACAACGCTTCAGTACTGTATTCTTCGAAATTTGCTCCTTTTGTTGTTATTTCACATTTGTAATAGCCACCAGCGCTTGGAAAGATGTTAGTCATGCACACTTCCACATGATCGGTGTTGGCCTCCTATGAACGATTTCGTGAAATTATTGCATTAAATCTTGAAATTGCTGTGTAAATAATCTTACGTCGAGTTGAAAGTCATCAAATTTCCTATGAACCCACTTCAAGGGGCTGACATCATTTGCATAGAAGCTATAAAAAAGCTCATCATTCCGATACCAATTGACTGCGTTAAGTGTATCACCGGAATCTTAGTAGTAGACACAGGTCAAGCAGGTTTCCGTTCCACGGTCGTTTGGTAAATATATGCCATACATACTTACCGGTAATGCACAATCTGAAAATGAAATGCGGACAAAATATACGATGAGTAATTATAAATTCCAACAATGCACAAATACAAGAAAGCGCGAAAATGTTCAAGTTATATGTTGAACATAATCCCATGATTTGATATAGTAAAATCCTTGAAAATAAAATTATTCGATGTAAACACATGCGTTCCATTGTTCCATGTAGCGTGTTGTTGCCACCCGCATCAGGCAAACAGCTGTTGTAAAGTGACAAGCCATGAATATTTATGCGTCGTATAATACGTTACAAATCCACTTCAAATGAAGCTCACACGTGTCCAAGCGATCATACATATTTAATTCTATCTCATGGGAGTATCCACGGCTTTTCCCCTTTGAATTTTCACGTAAAACCCAAAAAATAACACATTTTCTTGATTTTCACAAGTTAAAATTATCAACTTGTTGGCAAAAGTTAGAACGGAATATTTTTAAATAGAAATTTAACAATATTGATGTTACTAACGTAAATAAGTAAATAACAATTAATACAAACGAACCTACCATTGAGAAATAGGATGAACAAAAGTGTGGATAGAATGAAGTTTCGTTGCGTCATATTTTCGGCACAAAAATGTTGTGCAGTTTGATTGAAATTTTTTTGTATTTAATTTCCCCCAACCACAATTATGATCCGAGTTGATTCGCTTCTCAGAGTAATGTGTACAAAATTAGTCGCAAAACTCAATTACATTTACATTATACCAACCCAAGTGTATTAAGCACAGATAATTCATTCATATTGATACGTTTACATTGTAGATTAAAAAGTGAGCGTATTTAAACTAAAGCGGAGTTACATGCAATCAACCGGAACATTTTCCCATACGAATATAAAAAAAAATTCGTTGAACTTGCTGTCACTCGCAATATTCATAATAATCGAATATAGATTTGAATTGACAGTAGGTATAAAATTCGTTGGTATTTTTTTATTCACTAAATTCGTTGAAGCACTGAATTCTTCTTAGAGTTTCACTATTGGTCATCGTTGTCTCATTCGAATCAGTCTTGAAAATTTGGATCATTTTTAAATTCATCTGGCACTGGAAAATCATACCACTTCGGTTTGGATTTATCACGTGCTAATGAACAAAAAATAGTTTTTAAATTGTGATAATTTCCAAATTTCAGAATTTTCTTTTAACTTTGAAAAATGCAGAGAATCATCATCAAACAATATTTGCATAAAAAATGCCAAACGAACCAGCGTTTTAGCTTACCAACAACAACACGACGAGACGCACTCTTGATTTTGAAAACTGGTTCAGTTACTCGCACCTCACATTTAAATCTTCCAGAAACACTCGGTTCCACATTATCAAAATAAACTGTCGTAGCATTAGATTTATCATTATCTTCCTACATTTAAAATCACATAAAAATGAATGTGACATTCTTACTAGTGTAAATAAGCATGAATACTTGCATCAATTTCAAATTCATCCGTGTTGTATATATATTTGTGTGGCTCCGACTTTTAATTCCTCCGATTTCCGAACCAATTTTCAATTCCAATGGCGTAGCTATAAATTATTTCGTCATCTCTGTACCATCTTACACCTTGGAATACCTCGCCGCGATTTATGCGATATACACATTTCAAACAGAGTGGATGACCGTGTTTCACTGGATTCAGAACATCAATCCTGCTTAAATCCAAAGACGATGCCAAATCTGAAGACAGCACGCGAAATGATTTATTTCAAAAGTGTGGAATGTGAGTTAAAATTGAATTAAGAATTCGAATTACCGCTTAAATGGAGTACCAAGAAGAGTGCTAGAAAATGTATGTGTCGTCGCTCCATTGCATGTGATTGAAAATCGAGGTGAAATCATTCGGTCTATTCTCACTCCAATTTTATTGAGAATTCAGTGATCTGTTGTGTACTGTTTCGCTTTTCTGACTAATGAGAACAAAAGTTTACAATCTGAAATTGCGCCGTTTCTATTCCCATTCGGTTCATGTAATTATTACTTATTATCAACTAAAATTGATACGACAATGTCAATCTGGCATAAATCACAAAACTTCGTTCAATAAAAAAGAGTTTTCAGTTGTTATGTCAACACAGCAATTAATCATCATTTCAAACACAATGAAAACAAATGCCACAACACATGTGCCATCAAACTTTATTTGTCACATTTGTGTGGAATCCTGAAATGTGTATGTACATCCGATGTTTGAAGTTGAAAAATACCACTGTTTGTGTACCGTATCAATTCATGTTTGAATCGCATCGCTTCTTTTTCAAAACGGAACACAAACAAAATAAATGTATTGCATGACTAGGTTAATTTTCACCTTAACAACGTTCAGATCATTATGAACAGATTTCACTTGGATTTTCGACTTCCTAGCTTTTATTTCGCATTTATACCGTCCCGAAGAGAGTTCCTTAGATAAATGCTCGAATCGGTGGTTCGTGCAGTCTACAAATACACAGATTGAATAATACATTTTTTTAGAAAGAAAAAGATGAATTTACATCAACATCAACTCCATCAGTAATGGTTAATGTTAATTTGAATGATACGGATCTGTTATTGCCTGGTGTGATGTGGAGAAATGATTTAAAATCTTTTTGCCACTCGATTCCATCAAACCTTTCATGGTAGTTCAATTTATATAAACATTTTAAACAGACGATGGAACCTTCTACTATTGGACTGGGACCATAAATTTCCAATCTACTGATGCGTAAAGGCAATGCAAAATCTACATTTATCGATTTAGACAACAATTATTTTTGCTCATGATTAAAAAAACTAATGAAAAAAGTATATTATTGTTGTGGAAAAGATTCCAAGTAATGAATGATAAGCTCACCATGAAAAAGGAAGACGAAGAATATTCCAAGAAAAAATATCTTATTTACTGACATAGTTTTGAATTAAATCAAGTAAAAGCAAAGAAATCTTCACAAAAAGGTCGAATAAGCATGAAAATTGAATTTTCAGCTCTCATACCGAATTTCAACGAATCTTTTGGATAATTATCCAGAAGCACAAAACCTGACTGTACTTTACAAGTGGCTGACTCAAACTGACTTAACAAAAGCATCTGTGTGTGTCGGTGTTATTACCATCGCCGAAGTTGTAAACGATTTTAGATTAATATGCACAAATGATGAAGTTTGTAAATGAGACGTTTCTGCACACAGTTCAATTCATACTTGTTCGTGACGCCATACGGTAAATACATGTATACACGTGAAATTTACCTTTGACTGTAGATTTCTCTATTTATAATAATGTTCATGCTTGATATGTTAATTAGTAGTAGAGACTATCACTAACCGCTTAAGCGATATGAAATACATTTGTCAAAAACCAATCAGGAATGAACTGCCGTAATTGTTCGTTTTAGAATAATTTCATTCATTTTATATTTTTCCAACTAGAAGTCGAAGAAAAGATTACCAAAAATGAACACCGTTTTCCCGCAATTAGTTGTTTCCTATCTTTGTTTTTTAAGAGTACCATAAATTTGACATTGTAACAACTAAATATGAATGCATTTGAATTCATCACCAAAATTTCGTATCAATTGCATATCGAAATTTTTCAGGTAAGCTGATGAAAGGTAAACAAATTAATGTGTCTTTTTGCCTCGAACTAAAAAGAAATGAAAATGAAATTTTATGAGAACCAATTTGTAATTAATTTCCTCAATAAGCTTACAAATGTTAACATTGCGTTGAGCCTTTTGTTTTGGTACATTGGCTGTCCAATAAAAAAATTTCTCTGGATTTTGGGAAACTGATTTTGTTTGTAATAGAGTTTAAAAATGGATAGAATTGCTCACATCAACTTCAAATCCATCGGATGAATAGTGTATATCAAATGGTTTATCACCGGTAAGCATATTAGCACCGTCTGTGTAGTAATAAAATGGATTGTTGTTTCTATACCATTGAATTGCACTAAGTCATTCACCCGGTTCCAATGAATATTGACACTTCAAACAAAGCGTAGATCCTTTTGTTACACTCGCTTCGATACTGTTTACACTCAAAGGTACAGCGAAATCTGCAATCATATAATTATGAACTAACACATCAAACAAACGAATTATACAAAATCAACTCACCGATGAAAAGCAAGACCAAAACAATTGCTGTAACGAACACCTTATGTCTGTACATGATTTAAACAAATTTTCTATATTAAAATTAGTAATAAAATTGAATTGAGACTTTCTGTGCGACGAGATTCTGTGCGACTTTCGAACGTAAATCCCAACTTTGCTCTACATTGCTTTGCACGACAATATGCACAAATCCATGAAAAGACTCGAATGATAATGTTTTTCTCATCAATCGCATACATTAGCACTTATGCGTCGTAACATTTAAAAGATTGCTACACACGTTCAATTGACTCTACAATGATAAACATAAGCGTTTCTATGGAATGAAGAAAAAATTGTGCATACTCAGTCAATATTAAACGTTTCAAGTCAACTGTGTGCGAAACAATAGCACAGATATGGAATGCATCTCTCTTACATACGAGTATTTGCATCATCATCATCATCATCAACAACAAAAATCTCATTCGACATCAACATATGACATAACTTATAGTTATTTACGTTGGTAATATTTATTCCTGTGCATTCTTTCCATTTTTGATTGATAAATAATTTCGTTGGATTTTTCAGTGTAATCTCGAGTGGAGTGAAGCTTAAATTGGATCATTGGAATTTTGTGAATATTTTGTATATGTGTATTCCATTTCGTAGCTAAAATTGTCTTTTATCTACCAACATCATGCTGGTGTCATGTCATCGTTATCAATATGATGCCCCACATGACAAAGCCTCACATCAAAAACGTGCAGTGTCTAATGAATTCACCGAATTAAGAACGACAACATTTTCAGTACGGATATGAATCAGTAAATATTTATGCATAAAGAACAATGGCAGGTGCATACTATTGCATAACCAGATTTTCAATTGTTGAAACGTAAATATTTAATACTAGATATGCACATCAATGCTAATCCCATACAAATCGAGACACACATTTTGACAGCACTTCACTTGGCCATAAATTGAATATTCATCTTTAAACCATCTGAGGACATGAAATCAATTGCCCTGCAAACCAAATGCACTGCTGCATTTTGAATGACATACTTTTGGATTTGAAGCTCAATTTTGAACATCGATTAAATGTATGGACAAGATGGAGTTTAAGATGAGAATGTAGACATTTTTTCCCTGAATCTATGATTAAAATATGTAATCCATATGAGAGATCTGTTGATGGAATGTGTCGTTTAAATCAAAATCAACCAATACCATGTGGAAACTTGATTCACATAATATCTCAACTCATTCATGCTTTTTGTCAGAAAATACATATACGAAATAATTTCTAATAACTTTTTATTACGTGAACTTATGAGCAGAATATTCAAATCTGACGTCAGTTTTACTGTTCTAAACTCTCAAAAGGTGCAAAAAAGAAAGACTATACTCGAACTATACTATACTTCGACTATACTTTTTCGTATTTATATTGTTAAAGAGAATTTATTATCAGAATAAAAATCCATTCCACAATTTTTTTTTTTCAAAAACAAACACGCTCTTCAACGTGCGCAATAGCTCATTACATGCAATAGATTGAAGTTTTCATTTTCATTAAACGATTTTTCATCACATTCCCAATGACTAATTTCAGGAATTGATGCTTTGCACTATGAATCACCGTTTGAACAAATTAGTCACAAAAATGCGTTCATTCTCTTTTTCCCTTATGTTCATTGTTCCATAGTCGAAAGGAGTTATGTCTTGAAGAAGTGAAGAATGAACGTAAATGAAATATGTTTGGTGAAGTTTTGTCATTGTGGCTTATTTAACGATAAAACTCAATTTAGACATGTCAACTTGAAGATGTTTGGAAGTCAAATTGGTTGAATAGAATATTTCGTAGTAATGATTTCCTTCGGTTACTTCGTCATTTACGAACCAAATTAATTGGATTGCCGATTTTGAACTATCCGAAAAGCAGGTGAGTTCGACCAAAAAGTTCGCTTTTTCGACTCTTATCTTAGGTCCCCATTTCGGTGAAACGGTAACATAACATGACGAGATAAGAATCAAATTCGGGACAAATTTCTTTCCTTTTTTTTTCGTTGTCATCGTCGTCGCCATCGCAACATATACCAATAACAATCATCGTACTTTCGTAAGTAAAAGTCTAAAAATGGAGCATCACCTGATACTTTGCATTGATAAAGCCCGGAAGTTGACAAGTCAACAGATTTTACCGTAACGCTACTGTTATTGTTATTGTTAGGCATCTGCAATTAGGTGGAAAATCGAAACTTTTCAACACTGAACATTTTCAAATAATTCATTAAAAAAAGCATCGTTTTGAAGTTGTCAAGCAGGTAAGGAGCTTATATCAACATCGATTCCATCTCCAAGAAATGCTCGTTTTGATGATGGCAACGTTCTTGGAATGTATCGATAGCCGTCTTTATACCACTTAACGGACCTAAGTTCACCATTCTCCTATTCATAATTGAGAGACCAAACGCACTGTATTATTTAGAAGCACATAATTTGGAACGTTAAATACGCACACAAGATAAAACCCAAAATTGGGCATGCATCAAAAATCCTATTTAAACCCACTTCAGATGGAAAACCGACAATCTCTTAACCTCGGTCAAAGAACATAATTACAAATCATGGAAATTAAATTAACGAAAATTACTTGCCAGAAATTTAACATAATCTTTTAACAACTCACAAGTGAATAGTGAAATTAAATACAGAGCTAAAAACGGCACGGTTCAGATGTTTTATTGATGACAAACGGAAACGGTGGGCTTAAGCTTTTCCACTTAATCGCTTTGCAACAATTTGGTCTTCGCTTTGCTAAAGCAATGAATTGAAATGATTTCATTCATACGTCAATGCTCAGTTATCGTGCTATAATTTCCAACACAAAACCATCAATCATCAAGAAGATGATTTATTTTCAGCATAACAACACTTGCTGGAGTCGAACGCAACTGTCGTACCAAGACGCAGAAATCGATAATTTGGAATAATTATTTTACAAAAATAGCCAACAAACGATTTCATGTGCTAAATTAAGAGCTGCTGAATTTAGCAAATCTTTTACTTGACAAATAGATTTTTGCCGAACTGCCTGATTATCGAGAAATACATTACTGACCTGCAAAGCGGATAGCATTGAATTGATTTGATTATGCACAACGATATCAATATAAGAAAATGTATAAAATGCGGCAAAGTAAGCCATTCCATTCCATTGATAAACATAAAAGATAAGCCGATAAGCATCAGACGGAAAAAGGTTATTTTAAGACAATCTTCTTGTTGTTGGGTCAATCAAAGAATAACCCAAACAAACAAAGCTGTGTTAAGACTTTATTAAATATAACTCCACCCCACAAATGAACTGAAGCATTTTTTGCGTATCATTTGTATGGCTCGCTACAATTTCACTCACATTTTTCCACTCAAAAGACGCCACCTATGAATCGGCTCCGTTGTTTGCCTTGAGGCAAAACTAGCTGAGCAAAACCGCGAATACGTACAGCCGAGCTGAAAAGACTCAGAGTTTCTGAAAAGTACCCACCCCATTTGTGTGCTTAGCCGAAAACAAACCAACTGATTAAAAATGTGCAAGTCAAATAGAAGTAGAAAATGAAACACATCTCATGTTTTGTTTGTTTTTTTCTGTTTTGTTGTTCATCTTCAAAATTGTTAATATTGCTAAGTTAAAATGGCGTTTTTTTAAGAGAAAAAAATATCTGATATTTAATTGTTTAATTGACAATTGTTGTTAATGATTAATAATATGTAAATGTATAACATTTTGTAAAAAGCGATATTGTTGATATTAGGATGATAAATGCTGACGACGGTTTCGCTGCGAAGGAATTGTTGGCCGCTTGAAAATTCGAAAGTTTAATTTCTATCGATTATTGAATTTAATTAGTGACTGTTTCAATTGAGCCAATGGAATAAAATAAAAATGCATTATTCAATGCAAATAGTTACCTCGAACGCGATCAGCTCGTGAGCTACCAGCATAGGTTGATTCTCGTGAACGGATCACCTGTGAACGTTGTAGTCTATCGCCTTCAACGCTTTCTTCATTACTTTTCCAGTAAACGGTTGCAATTGAAGCTAAACACTGCACACACCGAAAAAACGGCACAAAGACAGAAAGAAAGAAAAAAAAGATTCATTTCATCAAGTGTTCGATAAATTAATTGAATTAATTATCGTGAAAGTGGTTGTGGCGGTAACTTTTTATCGTCTTACCTTCAGTTTCATGTTTCCATGTCGAAAAGAGTTGCGGCTTTTGAAACAAACAAAGTACGAGTATAAGAAGAATAAGAAGAAACAAAATGACAAAAACAATACAAATAGAAAAGAAAAGTGTTACGCAAAGAAAGTTTTGTATTTAATGTGGGGTTTCGTGGGTGGGTGCTTGGTAGCAACTTACTTGACTTTAAAATTCAATCCAAGCGTAGTCGTTTCTAAGCCTTCTCGTCCCGTTATGAAAATGTTATAGTATTTCAGGAGACTTGGATCGGCTGGTTCAGAATTTATGAACCAGGTCAGATGGGTGGCTGGCTTGGATCGGCCCGATGTGCAATTGACGTTGACTTCATCGCCAATTTGATATCGCGGACGTCCTCCGCTTATTTTTGGCCCAATTTCTGGTAGCACTGTTATAAAAACAATACAGATTTTTTTGTGTGTGTAACTCTCGATTCAATCACATTTGAATTTGAATAGAAAATGTATACGCATTTAAATGAGATAATCAATTTTGGGGACGTTTTCATTTCCGAACATTTTGTGAGTTTATGTTTGAATAAATTTTGGTTAGGATTGGGATGTGTGTATTTATTTTTTGTTTTTTTTTCCGTATGTATTTGGTACCGCAATAAAAACTTACCAACAACAATCATATCACCGTGATCAGAGACAGTTTCAAAGGATGGAGCCTCGGCTGACACCTCGCATCTATAGCGTCCAGTACTTGACAAATTGACAGATTTCAGAACAACAATGTTATCGGTAGAGTTGTGGATCTGCAAATATTTGTATAATATGAGAGAAAAAAAGACAATGGAACATACTACGCATATGGGAGAATGAAAGAGGGCGTGTGGGTGTGTATGTGCAAGTGAGTGAGGTGGGTAACAACAAAAACCCTTTTTTTATCATTTTGAAACGGTAAACAAGTATCAATCAAATGTTGGACAAACATGAACTGATGAAGAAAGATACGAAAGTGAGCGAAAAGAGTCGGAATAATCCGACTTTAATTCCGTCACAACACACAGCCACTTACATCAACGTTGATTCCAGGCAGCTCAAATACTAACGCTGGCGGCATACTACGTGGGATATAGCGATAAAATTCGTGCCCGTCTTTGTACCATTTCACGCTGTACAAATCTTCTCCGTCCATGTCAAAGTGGCATTCTAAACGGGCCGTACTATTTCGTACCGTATGATTTGGAATACGAACTTCGGTTAGGCGCAACGACAATATAAAATCTGCAAATGGGCAATTACAAAAAATCCCAATTATATAACTTAGAATTGGTATTGTTTAGGTTTCGTATTGTTTGATAACAGTTTTTGTCCGGTTATTTTTTTTTCTTTCTTTTTTTGGCTTTTTCCACATTTGTATGTGCTTTTGTTATGTAAGCTACGAGTAAAGAAAAATTGCCCCAATTCAAAAGTTGATTAACAAATTAAAAACTGGAAAAATTGATAAAATATTATGTGCGTATTCTTTTTTTTTTTGGTTGGCTGGAAAAGGTTAAAGCAGTTATGGTTAATCAAATCAGAACCGTAGCATAATCAAATGTTTCAGCCGCACACCATGCAGACTGATTACACATAGATTGAAATAGGCATGCGATACACTAATAAATTTGCTTAAAGGCGTTGTAAATGCTGTAAATGCTGTGTGATGCTTCTGTGATAACAAAGCCAACAAAACAGAACCCATTGCGTTTTTTTTTTCGGTGGGTCTCGCAACAATAGCGACAGGGTAAAGGAATGTAGCGAGCAAGCGAGGCCAGGCTGGACACACAAACACACCGAAAAAAAGGCAACACCATTCCAGTTGAAAAATATTTTATGGAAAAACATAATCCTTTTTATACACACAAACAAATGGTTAAAAAGACAAGCAAAGTGTGCCGATGGTCCATTTCATCAACTCAAACTCAACTATTTGATTCTTTTTCGGTCAATTGATTACAAAATCAAGTCCGACCGACGATGTCGACAACGACGATGATGCCGATGACGGGCATAGCAGCGCGCGTTCGGCGCAGAAATGTTACTGCTGTTGCTTTTTGGTGGTGCTGGTGCTAGTGGTGGTGGTGGTGGTGGTGGTGGTAATGATGATAGGGAAAGGGCGAGTGAAAAAGAATAAGCACAACAAACAAATGCAACCGCAGCCATGTATAACGATACCCACTATTGAAATACATAAAAGATAAAAAGTCGTTGTGATGAAACTTTTATGACAGTGTTTGCCTTCGTTCGCATGAATATGCGCACCTTACCACAGAATTTAAGGGAAAATACGAGAAAAAAAGAGCACACGAGAGAAAAAAAAACGAATGGAAAAGAGGAAGATGAAAAAATAACCAGCCACATTGCGAGTAAAAGCACATCACACGGCAGCAACAGCAGCAACATCGACTCTTTTATACGAACGGTGGTGCGTTCTATCTCTTTATGATGCCGTAAACTTTACAATTTATCTCATATCATATACACTCCGCCGTGTGTTCGGAACAAATGAACGAAATGAACGTGAAGCACGAAAGAGAGAGAGAGAGAGAGAGAGAGAGAGAGAGAGAGAGAGTGAGAAAGAGAATGAGTCAGAGAAACGTGGGATAAAAAATGGAACCCAATTTTTTACGGCTACTCCCGAACTGCTCGCAAAAATATCGAATAAAATAAAACAAATAACGCACTCGAATCAGCATCAGCAGCATCATCAGCATGTACGCACATTAGGCGCGTAAAAACCACGCACCAGAAACCAAAAACCAAAAACGAAAACGTAGATGAGAGTTCGTTCGTTTTGTCGAACGAGAGACAGTGAGTAAAGGGAAAAAAAGAGAACATAACAACAGCAATACCATCGAAATGGTATGCGAACACGGGTGGAAATAAAGAGCACATGCTTAAAAATGTACAACGGGATCAAAAAGCAAATTCAAAACTCGTTAGTAACCAACTCACCATTGAGAAAAAGAATCGAAAAAAATAGAAGAAGAATGATGTGGTGGTGTTTCATTGTTGATTGTGTATCTTGATAGATATCGAATGTGCACACATCAGCGCTGATCGAGCATCCGTTTAAAGGTGTGAAAATTTTGCATTGGCAACTTTTGGAATTTTGGTTTGTTCTTTTTTTGTCTTTCCTTCGTTTATTTTTTTTTCCTTTTGTTTTCGCGATACTTTTGTGTCGATGTAGCTTTTTGTTAAGGCTCTAGCTAAATTGTAAGTGTGTGTATGTGTTACAAGAGCCCGTGTATGCGCGGGGGACGATATGTTGATTACTCTGGCGTGATAAATGCAAATTTTTGCATCACCATTGACTCTATTAACACTCACGTTTTATCACTTAATTTTCTTGTGTGTGTGATTTTCTTGTTTGTATTCTGTTTTCTAGATTTAATTTTCTGTTCGGCTCCACCTTGTTTTATTTTTATGGAATGGTTAAAGCGATGTACCCAAAATTGACTAAATCCCAGAGGCCTGTGTCTGTGAGCGAGAGCTTAATGATTTTTCGTTCATTCACTAGGGCTGATCTATATTTTATTAAACGCTGTTCATCTGACGCGAATCAGTGTCACTTGAATGGTTCATCATATACATTATTATCATGGTGTTGTTACTCATTTTTCTTTGTGGCACACAGCGTGCGATAAAAGCAAAACACCGAACATCAAACACATTACACATTAGCCCGATTACACAATATACATCACTAGTCATCAATAGAATAGTCGTCGATACGAAGTTCCACCAATTCACTGTTCATTTTCAATAACATTGCGAAATGCCTGTCGTCGTTGTTGTTGTTGTTGTTGTTGTTGTTGTTGTGTCCCATGCTCTAAACAGTAGCAGCAAGTAGCGAATAGCGAAGCACACTGTGTGTATATGTATGTCCATTTTGACATCCATTCATTTCAGAGTGTTTTAACATTACTGATGAGGAATTATTATGAGATGGGGTTGTGTTTTTTCCACTTCCATTTGCTTGTGTCGAGCACACTTCGTACGATTTTTATTTCTCTTCTTCTGTGCTGTGTACTCTCTTTGCCTCTTCTACTTCATCTTCTACCCACTGTGTTATTTTATTTGCTTGTTATGTTACTCTTTCTTTCATTTGGTTTGGTTGCTCTGTGTGTTAAAATCCATTTGCTTCAACACCACTCTTCGTATATGTGTCTTGTTTCACTATACACAAATTTTTTTTTTCACTCGTTCCGTTTTTTGCGCTTTTCCTACACTCCGTGTGTACTTTTCCACAGCAAGAAGCACACACACCGTGTGTGTGAGAGAGTTCCACCACGCACGGAGACCTCCACTGACTCTCTATCGCATATATATATATATATATAGACAGAGCCACTATGACTCTTGAATAAGTATAATTTCATGCACTCGCTCTCTCTCTCTCTCTATATCGCAATGAAGAAGCACACCGAGCAGATGAAGAGAAGCGAACAGAGAAGAATAAAAAAAACAGCAGCAGCAGCACACACAACACACGAAATACACAAACCCGAATTCAAATGAATAAAATACGACACGTATCGGTATGCAAGTGCATGCGCTGTTCGGTTTGAGTGCAATTTTTCTCTTGTCTATGTGTATGTATGTATGTGCTTTATACACCCGTAATAATATCAATTATTTATGCGAATAAACACAGCGAATGTATGGAATGGCGAAAATGCACAGGAAATCTTAAATTGACTAATGGCAAAACGAATGAATTTTCTTTGGTTTTTTTTCTTCTCGCTTTTCACTTGGACTAATAAATAAATTTTTCTTTTTTGTTTACTTTTTAATTTGTTTTGTTAAAATTTAACGTTAAGATGATGTTTTAAGAGCAAAATGCATGTATAACTACGGCTAAATATATATAAATTAATCAACAAAAATAAAAACAATTTTTTTCCCTTTCTTGTTGTTATTTTGTGGTTTGTCACTCTTTTTTTTGTGTGTTTACGATGCGTTTGTTTATGGGTTAAAAGTTTTAATTGTTTGTTGATCTTAAAATCTAGTGATATTTTTTCGATGGACAGAATTGAAAATTGTATGTATCTTTTTTTTTTTGGTTAGTTGGTTATCGGGAGCTTTGAAAAGTGATGGGAATGCGTGCGTGCGTATCGCACAATCGCGTTCGTTCTCCTCGTCGACTAATCAGAGACTATCTCCGTGTACGAAAAAACGCTAAAAAATGTACGTTCTCGAATTGCGAAGTTGCGATGGGCTGCTGCTGCTGCTGCTGCTATGTGCCGCTTACGCAGCAAAAGTTGGAAAGTATCTGTGTAGAATATAGTATTCCTTTTTTCCCGTTCGTTTTCGGTGCTGCTGCTGCTGCTGCTGTATGCTGCTCGGTGCTAAACTGTTCTTCGCTATGTGCTCTCCATTTCGAAGAACGAGAACGAGAACGAGAGCAGGGCAGCCCGAAAAAGGAACAAACGCAATACACACCAAATACACTAAACAAACATTGGGTCGATGGCAAAAGCAAAGCAAAGGAAATATACATGTAATTTCGCACAACACGCGATGCTCATCACATGCAATTGAAACGAGACAAAGCCATTGCGCAATAAAGTAAAAGGGGAAACGTGCGCTCGCAAATTTTCCCGTGCCCAGATAAAACCAAAGTGCTTTGCCACTATTAAATTATGTATGCTCTGTTCGGTGTGTGTTATGTATGCAAAAAGTTCTGGTCTTTGGCTGTGTTTCTGTGTTGCTGCTGCTGCTGGTGTGTTCTTGTCTCTTTGCTAGAGCGTGCGATGGCATTGTTGTTGCTGGTACTTTTCTCGCCACACAGTGCGGCTATCCAATTTCACTTTGGTCGCTTAGAATACGAGTTGCAAAGCTTACGGTATGTGTGTGCTGTATGTTGACGAACTCACGGTCCTCACTCTGTGTTCGGGGCATACAGATACTACGTTTGGGTGTTCGTTAGGGTGCGACGTGTTTTACGCGCCGGTCGAAAAACAAGAAAAAACCCATCCAGCACCAAAAGCGTCATTATCATCGACGAAGCATCCTCATCTTTTGTTCTTTTAACCCGGAATTAGAAAAGTTTGTCATTTAATTGAAAAGTAGTCTCAATTTTTCAAATTACAGGATCTAAAATTTGTTATGCGGAAAAAAAAGAAGTTTTTCTTATGCAATTTTGTTTTTTTTTCTCATCGTCGGTCGATTTCATTTGGCGTGGGTTGGCAATGTAGCCCACGAACGATAGTCGATGGTCACGCACGTTATTTTCCCATTTTTGCATACAGGCAGCGAAAAATACGATCCATCCTAATGTGTGTGATTTGATTGTATGCGAATGGATGGTGTGTGTGCTTTCGGTGCTGTGTGCAGTTCGGTTGGCACACACAGGGGAATGAGAGACGATATAAATGTGAAATCAGTGTTTTATTTTCAATTTGATATTATCTTTGGGTTTCAAATGGAATATAGACACCAAAACGAAGCGAGCGCGAGCAAGAGGAGATAGAGGCAGCGACCAGCAACATACCGTTCGATCGAACTAAAATGAGATAGGTAGATAGGGAGTAGCATAACGAGCACCATGGTAAGCTTTATTGTGTTTGCCTCGTCATCCGAAATTGGATACTGTTTACTTAACGGTATTGCTGTACATAGTATACTGTGCACTGTGCACTGTGTGCTCTTTCACTGCTCTCCATCCATCGTCATCGTCATCGTCATCAGCAGCAATAGCGCTTGATCTGCTTATATTTCGGCAAATGTGTCACTTTGCTCTCTTGCTCTTTCTGCACACGCACGTACCATCAGCACAACCAGCAGCAATATTGTAAAGTTATCTAAGTTCAAATAGCAAAACACACATTAAAAATAATTGCGTAAAATTTACTGGTGGAGACGACCCTTCGACATTTCCTGTGGCAAATTTTACCAACATTCGGCGTGACTTGTGCTCATCATTTTCATCTTCATCTCACGCATATTTTCCATTTTGACACGTGCAAATGGAGAGTAGCTCTCAATCTCCCAGATACTCTCTGATGTGTGTCGCGCCTTAAAAATGAAAACTTTTTCCAGCCACTTTTCAGTTCGTTTTTCATTGTTGGAAATTGGTGTCTCTTTGCTTGCCGCTCTTCGGGATATTCACATCACTGCCGCCGTTGTTGTTGTCGTCGTTTTTTCTTCTTCTTCTGCTTCGGCTGACAATTGCAAAACAAATATGCACATTAATTTATGAATGAAAATTTCGTGCATGAATTTTTTATTACTACATTTGCCAATCATTTCGGCACAAAGGGACATACACACAACAGCAGTGAAAGCAAGAAGAATGAAAAAAAAAATACATTGTGAAAAAAAGCTCTCTCGAGTTCTGGATAGAGAGTATTATGGGAGAAGAACACCACCGTATGAACGAACGAATGTTGAGAAAAAAAATTGCTATACATGTAATACAATGTGTTTCGATTGTATTTCCTGAGTCCACGCCTAATGAAAGGAAGTTCGCCTTTTTCACTCGTCGTAGTCCGTACGTGTTTCAATTACATTATCAGAGTTTTCCTTTGAACAATTTTTGCGCTCCGCATGACGAACTCGCATAATCCGAGAGAGAGAGAGAGAGAAGAGTGGCTGGGCATGGAATGAAGTTCTTTTCTTATTTGGACAATTAAATGAAATTATGCTTGAATTTGCTAAGTGAAAAGCTAACGAAAGAGGGCGAACGAAAATAAAGGGGAAAAACGGCGGTTTCTTATGATCCGGCCTCCCATACATTTCTTGTGGCTCGTTTTTTTTCACGCTCATAAAATTCGAAATAATATTCAACTGGTTTATTTTTATGCCGATTTTTCCCACTTTATACAATATGTAATGCATAGTACAAATAAAGAGTGATTGACGATTACGATTTATATTTAAATAATGTTTTTTTTTCTTTCTTTTTTCATGTATTTAATTTATTTTCATTTGAACGGACTAGGAACAACAATGCAAACAATTCTTATGAAATGAGTCGCGTGAACCAGCTGGTGTTCGTGTGTAACTTTCGCCATTTATCCATGTTCACTTGCACCGATAAGACAATTTCGTCTGCCGTCTTGCCCAAACCGTAATAATCAATGAACTCTGCGTTTGGATCGACCAAATACAATATTATCGTATGATCAACCTAAAAAGAACACAAACACACAATATGAGAAAATAATAACCATTTTTATCTCTTTTCGGTCGAAAGTTGACGAAACGGATTTGCACAGGATAAAAACCCTTTTTTTTGTACTCTGTACATTGTTATAAGTATGGCAAAAGGACTTACAATGTAATCATCGGATTTATCTTTGGGACCGGCCTTAAAGTAAACATGATACGCGTGACAAACTTTTTTTATTTCTTCCATCGTCCCCGTTAAACCGATAATTTTGTCCGAAAATTCTTTGACATATTTTCCAACAACTTCCTTCGTATCTCGGTCTGGATCGATTGTAATGAAAATCGGTTGTAATTCGATATTTTCCTTCTCTGAAATATTTCAATATTTACATTTGGTATTTAGACTAGACTCAAGAGCACAATGTTTTGTATGTGCGTTTTGTTTTCTCTTTGGTTTATTGCGGAGAAGACTCGACTCACCCAAACCCTTCACAACGTTTACCATTTTTTCCATTTCGTCGGGGCAAATATCTGAAATTGAATATGTTTGGGGGAAAATTTAACGATGAATTTTCGACGCAGTCAATATTTTTCAATGGCTCAAACCTGGACAATGTGTAAAGCCGAAATAAATTATACACCATTTCCCTTTGAAATTGTCCGATGATACTTTATTGCCGTGTGGATCGAATAATTCCCATTTGCCACCGATGCCGGCTTTTTTCAATGCCTTCTGACGCTCTTTCATTAACGCTGAAAAAAGAAATCCGATAACATCGCTATCAGTAATGTGGCAACTTGTGTGTCTATGTGAATGTGCAACAGCTGCATCAAATAACATCGTGATAGTAAGTGATTGATTTAAATTACCATATTCTCTCTCTTTGTTCAAATAATAGCCGAATGCAATCAACGAGGCGCCCAAAAATGCCGTATAAACGTATTTTTTCTTTCCTTTGACAACCGGCTCGGGAATGTTTTGCTGGGAATAACACGCTTGCTGTTGAATGAATTGAGTTCGACCTCTTCCACACACTTGCCTAATTAATTGACCGTGAGATCGAATAAACCACGACATTTTTCTGCAATTTTTTTCTTCAATAATTTAACTCACAAAACCAAAATTGAAATAAAGCTAAAATTTGAGCGCTCTGCAATCTTTCACACAGCTGTGACTCAAAGTGAGGTTATGTTCTTCTGTTTTGACATTTCATCGCTATTCACGTAGTTCACCAGTCAAAACATTCAATTCTTCAGAGACCAATTTCAGCGCATTAGATAAAAGCAACCTTTTTTTTTCTTTTATACACACATTTATTACAAAAGGAGAGAGAGAGAAAATGAAACACCATTCTGAATTTCAATCAACATGTTTGTTTTTATATCTATTGGATCATTAAATAGTGTTACATTGCATGTAATTGATTAGATTTAATTTTTCGCTTTATATTTTGCAACCGTAAACAATATTTCATCAGTAACTTCGTTTCGTTTCTTATTCTGGCCGAAATAATCGACGAATTCACCCTTTGGATTGATTAAATACAGCACTATCGTATGGTCGACCTGTGTAAAAAAAGAAAGAAATTGTTTAGTTCTGGATTTGAATTCAACTATTTAGACACAAAGAGATAGTACACCAAAAGAATATGGTCTTACAATGTAATCATTATCCTTGTCTTTTGGTCCGGCACTGAAATAAACTCGGAATTTTTTACACACTGCGCCAATTTGCTCCTTCGTTCCAGTCAATCCAATCATTTTCGATGAAAATTCCTTGATATACTTTTCAAGCACATCCTTTGTATCACGCTCTGGATCGACGGTTATGAATAGTGGTTGGATTTGAATGTTTTTCTTTTCTGTAGATGAAAATAATTAATTGGTCATCTTATCCCTTTGAATTGATTGAAAATGTTGAAAAAAACGTGAAAAAAGTCGAATCGCACCTAAATCATCAACAACGCCGGACATTTTTTCCAATTCATCTGGACACACGTCTGGGCAATGTGTGAATCCAAAGTAGATGAGAACCCATTTACCGTGAAAATCGGATGATTTTTTCACATCACCCGACGTCGTCAACAATTCCCATGGTCCCCCAATAGCTGCCTTTCCTATTGTCTTCTTTCGCTCTTTTTCTCTTTCTAAATGTTCAAAATCAACGATTTGATTATCATTCGATTTTCACACATTGGTTACGTGATCGATTACATACCTGCATCTTTTTGTGCTTCCAAATACTTCAACACGCCAAGCGCAGCGATAGTTCCGATAGCCATATATTTTAATGTTTTCCATGTAATTGGACCTTTACCTTCGCCCGGCCGTTTCATTCTCGGTAATTCTGCATAGTATCGCGGCTGATATCGCAATCCCAAGTACACTGGATACTGAGTTCTTGGTGGGCTACTACATAACCTGTAAACTGGTAACAAGCGGCTTAATCGATTCATTGTTTTACTTCACTTTTATCAACTCAACAAATATGACTCCACAATTTTGACGTGTGTATAAATGCCGGCACTGGAAAAAACACGTCACAAGCGACTTTAATTTCTTTTATGGTTTCATTGATGGCCAATGTTTATACTATCTCTCAAGTTTTACTTGAATCCAGCAAGAAAACACATTTGACAGTAGCGACTGTCATCGCTCACGGAATATTTGAACCGCATTTGTCAAATGGCATTGCGCACGGTTCACACACACACACACGCAACGCAGTTTTTCAATCACGTTTGTACCGTCGTTTTTGAAAGCCGACCAACGATTCAGTGCAATAAACGGAGAAAGAGAATGAGCTATTTACATTTTTTTCTTCGCCGAACGAACGCAGTTGCACGTGTTTTATCAGGCGAAATTGTGTTATCGATGAATATGCATTTAATGAGCTTATTGTCGCTCAAATTTAAGAATAAATTAGGTATCTTTATTGCGAAAATTTTACGACAATGGGTAATGAAATGATAATTTTTTATTCTCCGAAAAGATAATTCAAAGGTGAAGCGATGAGTTTGGAAATAATATTACAAAATGATGCATATATTGATGGAACGAAAGTCATTTCGGCAAATGAATGTCAAACGTTATTTTTATATAAATTGGCAAGAAATGACATCGATATTAACATCGGTTCATTCTGATAACTTTCTCCCCACTGATTCGGCCGCATCAGTGCATCAACACACACACATACATGCACAGCTTGCACACTCTTAATTATATGCACACCACTTGACCTGCTAATTCCATCAAGTGTCGATTGAAAATTGATCACTTTCATTTTCGTCGGGAGTGTTTCATGTTTCTTCTTTCGTGTTGCAATCATCGCTTAACCGAGTTTCTGTATCTGACATGCCGACGTTACTCTCAAAATTGAAGGGCAATTTCGAAACGTTCGGATCAGCAAAAAAGTAAGAGACTTCGATTTTTGTCTCTTACGCACGCACACACACACACACACACATACACATTTGTTTTGCTGATTTCGATTATTGCACAGAAGAAGAACAGAAAACCCACATGTGTAAACAGTTATGAAAAAGTTTAGTTGGCTTAGTTCGATGTGTGCTGAACGAGATTTGCCAGTCAGTGTTTTGCCATCTGTGTGTACTGTGTGTGATGTGTGCGTCGCAAAAAAAAAAACGATTTCAAAACTTCAGCGAAAGCTAGTCACAACGCAGATGAAATAAGAAAAGTGGAAGGAAAGTTAAACAGAAAACAACAAACGTTCGGCAAAGTACCGGCGCATAACGAATCAAGAAAAAAAAAGGTTCTAGTGATTTTACTTTGTTGTATATATTGCGTACGGTGAATGTGATAGATCAATGTTCAATCCCTGACACTCATAAATATTCAATTTATTGCAAGCCAAATAATCTGGTTCGAATTCAAATTTTGTTACCGATATCACTCAACAATAAGCAGAAAAACAGCAAGAAAAAGACGAAAAAGTCACACAGTCAATTGAAAAGTATTGTGTATGTTTAAAAATAAAGTAAGTGATGTTGCAATCGATTTTTTGTTTTTTGTTCGTTGTGTTCTCGCTCCCAATTATTCGGACAATTATTTAAATTTCGTTTCATCTTCCGAAAAATAAACTCACCAAAAAATGCAAATCGTTATCGTGTTGATTGTTCGTTCTATTGACTGATTGAGTTGTTCATATTTTGTAGCATGTTCGGTATCGACTTTTGGCCATATACACACACAGTGGAAATTCCCCAAACGTGAACAATTCGTGTGCGCAAAAAAAGGCGAGCATGTACTTTCGAAACGAATTATGTGGTCGTAAAATTTGAATATGTATAAATATATAAAAAGCGAGCATACAACAACCGGCACTGCAGTTTGCCAATTGCTGATCTTCCTCAATCCGTGTATCGGTTTACATTTCGGTGATTGCACGTCTGCTACATCTAAGTCATGTGCGAATCGCATTATTGCTCAAGTTATTCGGTTATTGTATCGCTTTCATTGACCCAAACAATGTATGAAGCAATGAAATCGATGTGAAACAAATGACAAATTCATCGTTTTTTCCCTCTCGTGATTCAAGAAAATGTGTTCAAAATGTAATTAATTGAATTGCTGAACATGAGTAAAAGCTATTTATACATGTTAATTTCAAAGAACATATTCGAATTCCGGCAAAAAATCTACCAGATTCGTTTTATCTTCTACCTTCCCTTGGAATTGAAATGCTATTAATGAATAATGCATTTTATTTATCGCTTGCAATTATTCACAAATACGCAAATTTCCCTTGATAACGCCGCTATTTCTATTTTCTTGTTCATTTCCATGTGAATTCCTTTGTCATTCGTCGCAATGATGATCATTAAGTGATTGACGATATTAAAAATAGCGTGAATTGTATGGGCGATTGCGGTATTTTCACGCGATCTAAAAACGACTACAGACTATTTGCGGCGGAAAAAAAACACTGCAAATCGTTTACAATGACAACCCAATGAAAGAACACCGCAACTGAGTAGACGTAGATGGAACGATTTTAATACGTAGAGTCTACAGCTCTCAGTGGTGAGTTGCGCCCTACTTTGGCGTCTGTTCGACGAATGGCAGACGAAACGCTAATCATCAATCATGTCGAGTCAAAATATTAACAATTTGGATATAGTATAATTTGATATAAACTTTATGTGCGGCACAGTTTATGGCATCTGATCTGAATGGAACCAACTTCAATTCAGGACACCATTTACTAGGTCAGTTTCATTCCAATGAAAGTCACTGAGTGTTTGTTTTGAATAAAAACATCCGCTTTGGAAAAATCTCGAAGGATTTTTTGTTTTGTTTTCGTTGGTGGAAAACATGATACAAATGAACAAAGTGAAAACAAAAAAAATATGAGGCAACAAACTTGGCCAGTACATTTCCGTTGATGATTCTCTATGACTGAGCGTGTTAAGAATTTTCGCGCTTTACGAACATTTGATATCGATTCAAATATAAACATGATATAGACGCCGTCGGCTGACGCAACACAAGGTGTAATTTTAGACATGGATTCTAAAATTAACCATTTGTATACACAGAGAAAAAAATATGCGTAGGAATCTCCCAAATATCATCATTCGCCGAATGTAAATAAATATTTGACATTTAACTGTGCACAGCAATTGGAGTGAAAAGTTTCTAGCCTCCAATTTACCCGGTTGTTTAATTCGCAAATTAGCAGAGTGCACTTTGTTTCGTTTGATGGGAAACTGTTTGACTTTTGGTTTATATGTTAAAATTTTCATTTAAATCTAAAATTTCAAAAAAAAGAACCCATCAAGAAAAACCGTTGTGCCCACAAGACTAGACTTCAAAAGATAAAGGTTTACCTACCTACGTATTTTTGTTATAAAAATCACTCAAGTTGGAAGTTATAAATCTTTCGAAAAGAAGAGTCGAAATAATTTTCTTGGGCAAATTAAAGGAATCGGTCATATAATCATCATCCATTTTTCTTCGAAATAAAAAGAAATCACAACAAAAACGAATATTCCAAATAACTTTTGAGTCGGTCTAACTGAGAAAAAAATATGAGGCAGAAGCTTCAAAAATTCGTTTCATCAGCACAAAGAAAAGAAACGCTGACACATGGGAATTTGTTGAAAAATTGAGGGAGGTTTGAAAGAAAATTGCCTGCTTTTTTTCATCATTTTATCGAGCTCATTTGGAATGTTGTGCCCATTGAATCAAGTTAAAATATAAAACCGCAGACAGTTTGACTAGTTTTTTCACCATTTTCGGTGTTGTGTATATTTCTAGACTAAAAAGTGTGCTATCATTTGGTCTGTATGATAAAAAAAAGCAGCCATTCAATAGCTCAGCAGTTGGAATTGATGATTAAGCTATGTCGAGATTACGTTATTGGAATTATGATAATGCGTGTTAACATTGTTTGCCCACTAGCGAATCGGAGAGACAAGAAAAAAATTAATAATCGTATCGAACGTGACAAATTGACCCGGAACATAAACAATTTAAATGTCCCCGAAATAAACACACGATTTGCGATAATCACACCAATAATAAATTCAACGTTATGGAAATTTGCACATGCCAAAAAATAAAGTAAATTATCCATGCTCGAAATGACTCAATACACGGACACACACATACCAAAATAAAATTCGAATGGAAAATTTGCTGAGCTTCGCACTTCTGACTAATGGCGTGATGCGTACGCGATCTAAATTCCAAAGACGAGCGGGTACGCTATTCCGTGAAAAATGAAAACATCGTGCGGTCGGAGCGCAAAACAATAAATGATAAACAAAACGCTCATTTTTGTGCTTTTGAAAATAAATGAATTTTCAGTTTGCGACATTAATAATGTTATTCAAAATATACAATAAATCACAACAACGGCAATAATTATTGTGTTATCTGTACATCAAAATGTACGAGCGCATTTAATTTGCACAAAACAACCACACTACTAGTCTATATCTATCTATGTGATTTAGTGTGTGTGTGTGTGTGTGTGTGTAATTTTGCTGTTATTCCATTCGCAATTATTTCCTGTTGAAGCGCACGTAAAATTTTCTGTCGACGTAAGTGAATCTTTACTGTCGTAAACGATTTAATATTTGTTTTTTTCAGACAACCGTGTTCTCCTTAATCGATTGATTTGTGCTCAACAAGCAGAGATAATACTTTAATTGATAACTCTTTGAAAAAAAAACATTAAGGAATTTCTGCTAACCGCGATAATTGTTTGTTTATAAGGGCGCCAAAATCGAATTCAATGACACTAGCAATAAAAAAATAACTTCGAAAATTAGCGCCAATTATTCGGTAATTGACCGGCAAAAAAAAATCACCAATTCTATAATTGGCTGAAATTTCAATGAAAAATTCCGCAATAAAACCCCAACGAGTCTTGAACATTTGCTCATGAATCTGCATATTATCATCGATTTTTCGCGTAAAATTTGCACCGCCACATTGTTCCAGGCAATAAAATTACAACAAGCCAATTTCATTGACTGGGTGAGTGGCGTCGTGCAATTGACGACCAATTTGGTGTGCCCCCGTCTCGGGCTTAATATTTGAGATTAGCACATTCGATAAACGATAACAGCGGCAAAAAGGCACACGTCAAGTGGTTGCGAACGTCGTTTCGTGTACTACGACGATGACGACGACAACGACGACAACAACAGCAGAGAACCGAGAGATGTGTGTATTGTTGTAACGCGTTTTGTTATCGCCTGTTGAATGTTCGTCGATTGTTGTGTATCGTATGCACATTATTATTCCTTTGAGTACAATTTTTCGTCTATATGACGGCCCAACCGAAACGTACCTCAAAACAGTATCGTAAAAGACATTCGGTTGAACAGACGCCGAATTTTCTCCACATCAACAAGGCAATACACAGTACATTGTGCCTTATATTAATATAACCGAGCAATAACAACAACAAACGAGAGTAAAGTGGTGAGCTGAACAGACAATAGAGTTAAAACTGTTTGAATTGAGTGAGTGAATTTTGAAAATAGCCAACACGATCCAACGACCGCGACATTGAATCATTTATTTCGTTCCTTTTGTTCGGGAGTTTACATTCTTATGATTATTGCATCCTATAAATAGACGTTCCATATATATACAAGAACAAACTGAATTAAATAATAAAGGGAAAAAAAATGGTCGGTAAAAACGTGATGCAGTTTAAAACCATGTTCGCTCTCAGTTTTAAATATTTTATCGCGAATGCGTGCAAATTTTGTACAACCAGCCGAAGGAGGTGTATTTAAACATCGGAAAAATACCGACCGTTTTTTGTTTGTTTTCCAATTCCAATGGGTGCAGAAGTAGTACATACCAACAGCTGGGTCGCATATTTTCAGATGAAGCTCACAATAAAATTCAACATATAATAGCCATTGTTATACTTTCACACGTCTGTAGAATTTATTTAGGTCCCGCGAGTCGACCACAACCATTTGGAATGTTTTTCGTTTGATTTTCTTTGGTTTCAAGCCAAAAACAAATCAAAACCAACCGCTTCTATTGTCTCTTCAAACCAAGTATAATATAAATATTGACTTAGGTACTGATGCATGCGTGCTACGGACGGAAATGAAATACGTACCAATTTTCCCGTTTTCATTCGTATCATAGCCAATTCCATGAAACTGGATGGAATCAACACATTTTTAGTCGCTATTTTTCATCATATTTTCTTAGGAAGATGGTTGTTTTTCAAAAATTTGCTAGCAGTTTTGAAGCATTACATTTTTCTCAATAGTCTCAGCGGTTTCATTACTTTGTTCGCTAATGTAGTCTAGGATAGAATTTATTAGCAGGGCATTATTTTTTCGGTTACATTATTTGCCCCGTAGGAAAGTGAAGAATGTGTTAGAAAACCTCCTCTATTTTAATCCCGGTGACCTTTTCCGTTCGGCAAAAGTGCGATTTCAAATTGCCATTTTCCATAAAATTGTAATGTCTCACGTTTTATGTTCAGAGTTCATTGTTTGTGGTATAATTTTACATGGTACTTCCTGGAAGATTTATGAGCATCAGTCATGGCCAATGCTCAAATTCGGATATCATTTGGCAGGTTGAATTATTACAATTGTGTCGTTTATCATATCTATACTTCATTGTGCATTGAATTAGTGGAAACGATGAAAAGAATTCGCGCTTGATTATGCAAGTGTTACAATAAATTTGGAATTTATGATTATTTCGTCAAGGTTAGGTCGACGGTGGTGGTGGTGGTGTTTCCTGCAGTTTATTTTTCTCATTTAAAAATAGCACTTCTGAGCTTGGAATATTTTTTTTTCTTTGAATTTTAATTTTATCAAATTTATTCATGTGATTCATTATGATTCATTTTAGTCGCTACAGCTTATGCTCTATAGACTTTGTACTATATACAAGTATAGAATCTGTGTATTAAATTTGTTCTAGTCCGAATCTGAAAATTTTAAACGTGTCAATCATTCGGCTCGCGAAATGGTCAAACAATAGATTCTACAAAATCAACATCAATCATAATTTTCACCATCAACAACAATAGCCGGCAATTTGTTCGCTCTAAATGCATTTTTCAACCAATAAAACTGATACGAATTTTACGAGCTCTTTTTAACTGATTCCAAGCCATGCACCAACATTTTCAATTGATCAATTGAATTATTTTTCTGTGTACACGCGAACCATTCTCAAATTGAGTGTCGTGCACATTCATCTTTTTCTTTTTTGAATGAAATCGGAGTGTGTGTTTTTTTTCTCACCCATCTTGCTTACCGCTTGTCTTTTCAATGTCAAAACAACCATATTTTCAATTGTTTTATTGTGACATCTATTGATATTGTTCTGGATTGTCAGGTTCTGAATTTTAAAATTGTGTCGAGTCGAGTATGTGTAATCACAATCACGTTTTTCGTACCATGTGTGGTTTTTTTTTTTTTTATCTCTCTCTCTCTCTATTCGGCTCAGCTTGTTTGCTCTATTCCATCACTTGATTTCATACATAGCTGATAAATCACATGTTAAATGGCATGACGGTCAACGACGTTTCGTTAATTGATTACAATTCCAATGTATTCCGATGCGAATCAATCCGAAAAGAATTTATTTCAATAAATTTTGTGGTCATTTAGAGCGAATCAGTCGGGAAGTGTAAAAATATCTGTCGACAAAAATGGCTTAAACAAGTTTAAATTAAAATACGGAATTGAAATTGTGTCGCGTGCACACGAATTCCAATTGACTTAGAAGCGTTTCTACGAAAATCATCAATTGATAATGTATACAAATTACAGTTTAATTAATGTTTTTGTCTCTCAATTGAACTGATTTGTCAAGTGGAAATGTGGGCTGAAAAAGGTGTTATCATTGTAAATTATGTTTTGTATTGGCCGGGGCTAAATTATGATTTAATACAACAGACGAGATGTGTTTTTTACCATACTGTGTCAACACAGATTGGAATTATCAGTTAACATTGTTTAATGTTGTAAATTATTTGTCGATTTTTTGGAATTTTCAACACATTCAATTACAAGATGTGGAATCAAAACGGTTGCCAACCGATACATTCCATAGAATTGAATGAAGTGGAAAATTATGATTTATAGAATTGCGATGAAATCATTGCTATGCGATTCAACACGAATTTCGCGGTTTTGTCATGCCAACGTATCCACTCACATACACGAAGAATATTATCTTAACGAATAGCTGTTATAAATTAATTCGAATTCAATTCAGAGAGAGAGAGAGAGAGAGAGAGAGAGAGAGAGAGAGAGAGAGAGAGAGAGAGAGAGAGAGCACATGACATTTACTATCTAACTTAAGAAAGAGACGCTACAACATTTTAAATGTTTAATGATGTATTCACGGTACGCTTGGGAATTTTGTGTGTGTAATACAAGCAGCAATTTCAGCAATAAAAGCAGATCTAATGAGCTGCTATTCGTATCCAATCAAATATAAATAAATTCATTTCGATCTCTGCGTTTTGCACCTTTCAATTTGCACATTTCGTTTAGTTTTGATTTTCGTGTTCACTCACTGTGTTCTACTTTCGTACACAATGCAGTCAAGTAACCTTTGAATTTTAACGCTTGTTGAGCTTTATTGCGGAGTGTGTTCATTGCAGTTCAGCAGAAAATTAAAATCAAAAATCTGGAGATGATTCGAAATGTGTTTATTTTTATACTCATTTGGGTTTATATCGAAGTTATATGTCGAACTAAAAGTGGTATTGTCGTAGCTAATGAAAATGACAAATTGACGCACGTGTTAATGCTGAAAGACAAAAATCGATTTGATAGTTTTGGATGTTTTAATCTATTTTCCGAAGAGCAAACGTACACATTACAACAAAAACCTTTCGAAATCATTCGTTTACATTCAGTCTAGTAGCAGTGAAGCCAATGAAATATGCATAATGTGTAATGGAGATATGAAGTATGCGCTGTTCACGTGATGTCAACTATCTCGCACGTTACTTCTATTTTAAGTTCAAACATTGTGAAGTAACTTTGTACTTTGCTGATAAAAACCGATTCATAGACCCCAATCCCTACAGATTTACCGGCATTAAAAATGTAATAGGTAGTAGCATTACGTTAACAAAAATTTCCTGTAATGTTATTACAATTGTAATAGCTATTACCGGTAATGCTAAATTTTGGCATTACAATTGTAATAGCATTACTTTGGCCCTTCGTTACAATATTAATGTGTTACGGCAAAATGTAAATCTGTACCAATTCCTATGGAATTCGTAGTTGCTAGTTCAAATTGAATATTAAACTGATTGCATTACTCATCTGATAGAAATAGCTCGTCGCAATAGATCAGGAACTGAAATTATCGCACGTTTTAAACTTTGATTAGCTGTACGAGACTCTCGTTTGTGGTAAACGTTTTTTAAAAACATAAATTGAATCGGTGATCGGTTTGAATTGCGTATTGCAGATATATTGAAATTCTTCGAATGACACTTGTTGTGAATAAATTGATTTACGATGACGTTAATGTGACGTCTTTGCGCCGCTCAAGTGTTTTATTTATTCATCGAATCGCACTCACGTACAAGCCTCCAAAGCTAATACACCGCGCCTTTGTTTCATATATTTTCAGTTGAAATTCAAAAACACGACACATTCATAGAGGCTCTTTAAAAGGAAACGAAGTGGAAATGAAGCTGCCACGATTGTCAAACATTCAATCCATCAGCGAAAAGGTGGAACCGGGAACAAAATTCAAAGATACCGGACGCTGGCGAGATTTGACTGCCTACTGGATTTTAGGATTATGTAATAATTACGGATATGTGGTGATGTTGAGTGCAGCGCACGACATCATTGCCAGATTTAATTCAGATGATCATGTAAGTTTACTAGAAAAATGAAGGAAAATGTGCCATCGAATTATAGTTTTTGTTGAGATTAAACAATGTCGCTCTTTTCGCAGGCAACCTCAAAACCAGACTATCAAAAACCAGAGAATGAACGATATTGTCAAATCATGTCAACCGGTGCTATTCTTTTGGCAGATGTAAGATATTTTTTTTCATTATTATGGCTAAGTGTGAAGAAATTGAGCCAAATCTAGCAATCTAGCTGTTTAAGTTTTTTTCTTGAAATTTTCATGTTTTTTTCGATATTTTATAGATTCTTCCGTCGCTGGTAGTTAAAGCGTGTAGTCCGTTCTTACCATTCTATGTAAAGTAAGTTTTTTTTTTAAATCAGCCATAAAGCCTGCCTTATAAATTGCCTGTCTGGATTTTTCGTTCTCTACACTTGATTCCATTACCATGATAATCAACTTTTAATTCCTCATTTTTTCCAGTGTTCGAATTTTTCTCGCTTGTTTCATGCAATGCGCTGGATTTTTATTAGTTGCTTATGCCGACAGTACTGCAATGGCGATCTCAGGTGTTGTTTTGACATCGCTCAGTTCAGGTCTCGGTGAAGCGTCATTCTTATCATATTCATCAAAGTTCCATAAGTGAGTAATCTTATCTTGGTCTCCAAATACACAAATGAACACCATTAAATCATTTATTTTATGGTTATTTTCAATAATCATTCTTCAATTTCTATCTTCGCTCAATCCAAATATCCAACAATTGAATGGACACAACAACAAACCACAATACTTGTGTGTGCAGAAATGTGATATCGACATGGTCGTCAGGTAAGCATTCGCAAACTAATCAATATATTCCGTTTTTAAATGCAAATATTTTCGTTTTTCCTTCAAAGGAACGGGAGGAGCAGGAATTTTCGGAAGTTTCTCGTATGCAGCTTTAATTTCGATTGGCATTTCGCCAGTCAATACAATGTTATTAATGTTAAGTGTGCCGTTAATGGAGGGGGCAGCTTTTTGGGTACTGTTACGTAACCCATGTACGATTCCCAAACGAGATTCAGAAGCGGAGTTCAGAACATCACCAGACGATCAAGAAGCCGCAGTTGAAACGAAGCAAGCCAAACTTACGCTCAGCGAAAAGATTCGCTATGTGCCTTCATTATTCAAGTATATGATTCCATTGTCGCTGGTGTATTTGTTTGAATATTTCATCAATCAAGGATTGGTATGTACACATTGTTTGCGTTATTTTGCCAACTGATTTATGGCAATTGCTTCAAAATGACGCGTTACCAATTGACATTTTTGCATTTTCAGTTCGAATTGGTTTACTTCAAAAATATTGAAAATTGGTTGGACCAACCGGCACAGTACCGATGGCTGCAAGTTGACTATCAAATCGGTGTGTTCATCAGTAGATCGTCGGTCAATGTGGTAAAAATCGACAAGATTTGGTTGATGGCAGTGTTCCAACTGATAAATGTGGGCATTTTCCTCACTGAAGTGATAACATTCTTCACACCATCGATTTGGATCGTGTTCGGCATCGTATTTTGGGAAGGATTGCTCGGCGGTGGCGCTTACGTCAATACATTCTATCGAATGTCCAAAGAAATTCCTGAAGATAAACGTAATTTTGCGCTCGGTGTTGTACCCGTTGCCGATGCAATTGGTATTGCTCTTGCCGGCGTCTTTGCAATGCCCGTTCACAATGAATTGTGCCGATTGCCAATGCCATCCCGAGGATAAACCAGATTAACTTTGTTTTAAGTATATAAGTAGCATTATTTTATTTTCCCTGTTGTATTTATCAACGAAAACATTTTTTTTTCTGCCTAGATTTAAGTAGGTCGTACAATATTTTAGACATAAGTGTTATTGCGAAAAACAGAATGAAGTGAAGTGTTTAGAGCTGCAGCTTTTTTCACACAACACACAAACAACGCATCGAAAAGACTAATTGTATATTGTTATTGTTCCATTTTGTGTGTGTATCGCGAAGTGATCGAATTTAATAGCTCAGTAGATGTTAAACGTGAGAGTATTATCATAAGTGAGATGTATTATATATACGATTTTATCGAGTCAAGCAATAAATTGGCATATTTTGGCCACCACTCAGAATATACGCACAAAATGTAATAAAATTTTAATTGTGGTCGGGGAATTTTCATGTTTCTACGAATCGGTTCGTGCTGTGTATACGTTTACGAAAGCGCTGATAAATACGGTTGCATTACCTCCAATGACTATTTATTGTGCATATGTTGCGGGCGTGTTTCAGTGTTGTATCTGTGCACTGAACCTTACAAGCGAAAACAAATAATGGAATTTCGAAATAGAATCACCATAGTAGTTAATCTTATTTGGATGAGATTACATGGGTGATTTGGATATATTATGGCTCTTCCAAGCAATTAGACTAAAATAAGATCAAACTCTGTTATTATGGAGCCATAAAATCAGGGTTGTCTTCACTTTTCAATTTACTGTATCACCCCACATGAACTTTGCTCGAAGTGATATCAAGTGATTTATTTCGCACATAATTATTGCTTCTTATCTGTTTTAAATTGTTTGTCAATTTTTTTTGCATTTTCATCTCGAACAATACAATATATTAATGACTTCGATAATAATCAAAAGCTTTGATAAGACAATACAAGTGTGAGTCACTTCAAATTGACGTATGTCAATTGATGTGCAAATTAAGTAAATAATCTGGTGCAATTTCTTTTAGAACAATATAATATATTTGACTCAAAGTCCATCTTTAATCTGGATTTAATCTGACAAATTAGATCAGGTCAAGGTCCAAGACTTATTTTTTTTTTTTGTCAAAATTTACCAGATACTTCTGAAAGTCCGTGATAGACAAGTGCCAGATAATCTGACAAGTGTCCAGATTTCATTACTTTAAAAATGAATGACATATTTCAGCCAGCAGATTGCATAGGTTAGATTTCATTACTAAAAACTGTTTTTTAAATTCACAAACCGATCGATATTTACACTGTTACACAAACTAGCTCTGTTGAATACTTTATCAAAAATATTAAATATCAATAAATATCAAAGCTGAAAAAACTACTAATAGTTTAAATAGTTTGAAAATAATGGCAAACATTTTGCCGCATTGTTTATTATTTTGCTGAAATTATTTATTGAAAATTTTTCGATGAAATAAATAAAAAAATATAAAAGAAATGAACTTTGGCTCTACAACAATTTGATGTTTTATTTTAAAAAAAATTGACAAGTCTTATTTTCAACAATATTTTTTTGGAAAAATCGATTCAGGTAATAACTATGAATAACAACATAACATCGCGCGTTTGCTTTATTTATTCTTATTCATCCAATGAAATGAGCTTTACTTTATTCGTAGTTTCCTACGAATCTCAAAATATTTATTTTATTAATATTTGCATCCATTGATTCGATTAATGGTATTTCTTAGCATAAGCCAAATAGTATTCAATTTTCTTAATCATCGCAGTTAGTTTTCCCTTTTCCAAATCCGAGCAAGCATTCGCTTTCTGGTCATTGAATCGTTTGGTAAATTTTTCGGAATCATTGGTCGGTTCATTGATTGACGACGCGCCTTCATCATCACCACTGCTGGCTGCATTCACTGAAACCGATGGTTTCGAATGTGAGTTCTTTATCTCTGTTTTAACTGCTGATAAAAGTCGATGTAAATCTGATAAGGCAGCCAAAATGAATGTGTTGGTTGGTTTATCCTGAATTGGTCCTGCCATGAGATTTTCAATATCTTTTTTCATTTGCCGCATATCCTGCTCATCGACTGCGTAGCCTTCATTGTTTGCATCTTGCCGTATCGATTCAATGGCAACGTCTGCATCATCAAAATTGGCTTTCATTCGCAGATTGGCACATACTGATATCAAATACTTAACTGCTTCATATTTGCTTGCCTATAATTATTTTCCTTCAAAATGAATGAAAAAACATGATATCTCCTAGGTTTTACTGTTTAGTTCCCCACTTATCCGAGATGTACGCTGCATGATGACTTTGGTAAATTATTTGCCGAGCGTTTATTCTGCGACGTACAATTCATTGTTGGAATGGAAGAAGTGAAAATCCCAGCTCATATGGCCATCGTTGCAGCTCGTTCAGCTGTGTTGAAGGAGAAAATTTTGTAAGATCCTTGAATTATTCTCGTCAATTCAAACTATTCTAGCCTATGTCTCATTTCAGAGTCGCTCGTGAAAGTATGAACGAACATTTGGAGAAGCTTTTTGGCACAACTGATGTTCCATTTTCTGATTGGCCAATACTCGAAGTGAAAATACCCGATGCACTGCCAGATGCGTTTGAAAAAGTGCTATATTACATTTATACCGATCGCATCGACTGTAAGTTGAATGAATGAATGATAAGTGGTTTAAAGCAGTGGTTCATTGGATTGTGTACATTTCAGTTTCGGATCGAACAGATAACAAAGAAATCGTGCGTCTTATGATGGACATCTTCCAATTGGCAGTTCTGTATTTGATAACACGTCTAGAGAACGTGTCTATTCACTATCTGGAACTGAGAATTTCAAAGAACAATTGATTTATTTGCTACGAATGAGAAAAATCGCATTGAAACTCTGTGGAATTGTTCACTTTAACAGACGCTAAAAACAAAGGAGATAGGCCGACTGACAATCTACGCACCCGTTATCAATAGCACAATGACATTAGTGTCAAATTTAAATATGCGACATGGGCTCCCAATTGACGCAAGCATTGTATATTCCGCAAGGAAAAGTCCACGGGCAAATATATTTATTGGCGTTTTAGTAGTAATAGGAAATACAAGTACGTAAATTCATGTGATGGTTTTTCTTTGCAATGTCAAAACTAATGGAATGTTCTATTCTTTCAGCTGTAAGGCTCGAGCCCGTTCAATAGCTGGTCCCAACGAAATGAAACTATTGAAAACAACAATCACACCAGAACACACCCACACCGCCGAAGAGGCCAACCAGAACAGGAACCAATTGAATTCGGGCAAGAATACGGACAAGAATTCGGGAAAAAAGAAGGCGAATAACAATGACGATGAAAATGTTTTTTATCTATAGAAAAAATGACAAATTGCTAGACACTAAACACTGACCTCCGTTTTGCATTAATTTCAACAAGTATATGATTGTGACTTCGTACTTATTATTGCTAAAGAAGTAGAAAAAAAGCAACGTTGGATCTGTATAACATTTTTTGTAATACTTGACACAAGAGCAGCGAAATCAGTGTTGAAACGAAAAATGCGGACCAAAATATTGAATCAAATTTGGAAAAAAAATATTGAACAAAGGATGAAATGAAAACTGAATGAAAATGTGAATCTAAAATTAAGCGAAAAAAATTTGAACATATGAAAAGTTCAATCGAATTAAAAGAAAATCGAATATAGCACAAGAGGACGAGCCACATGTACTGATGATAGCAGTTGCATTGAATAAAGTATGCTAGGGATGACAGGGTTTAAAAATACCAAAACACAATAATATATAGAAAAAAGTCAAGTGCTATACAGCAACCACATCTTCCATGATTCTGAATAGGTCACAATTTTACTGTTATGCATTAAACCGTTTAAATTCCATTAAACCGAATGAATCGGAAGTATTTTTGAAAATCGGAACATTTTTTCCATTCATCACTTTCTCCACTCACAAATCCTATGATCTTTCTAATGATTAGTGATTTTTTTTGATTTATTGTACTAGAATAATTGAATAAAAACGCAAGTTCTTACAAATGTGTTATATTTTTAATGTTTCCCATTCATTTATGTTCAAATTGTCAATAATAACCATCAAAAATCTAACGATTTCTCGTATTTTTCTTTTTTTCAGAATTCGGTTTTTCAAAGCCATTCATTGATTCGGCTGGGAATGCAATAATGTTTATCGACAGTGGTAAAGGGAAGAGGCAATTAAGCATCAATAGGCACATATTCACTCGCATGAGTCACCGGTGATTTTGCAAGCAACAGCGAAAAAAAAACCACCTAAATTACTATTATGCATTTTTATCGAAGAGTTGGCAAAACCGATGTTTATAATTCGCCAATGCCAAAAATGAACG